CCTAACTACCTGGTTACAGACAAATCAAGCAAAGAAAACAAATCTCGGCAAAGTTAAACATTAAATTAAGCTGCACATGTGTAAGAGATCTACAAATTCCTGTTTACAGTGTGCGTGCCGCGACAGGCGGATTGTTTTCACATGAGCTAAATGTGAGGTGAGGCATCCCTGAACTATACTGCAATGCGCTGAAGAAACAAACTCCTTCTCCTGGTTGTCTGATTGTGGAATGGCTCGTTTCTTATGCTTGAAGTAGGATCCGGGCAGCACGGACGGCATCGCTTTCAGCTCTCCGGTCATCGTCTTTTGAGGCCAACACGAAAAAAATAAAAATAAAGGCTACCGTCCTGACCAAAAACGTGGCAAACACAAAGGTCCACCATGAGCCGCGGAAATCCACAGGAAATACGGCGTAACCCCGGGGAGAGAAGCACGGCTGTGATTCACTGCGGGGAACTACAGCTGATGGCGACGAGGTTGTAGGCTGTCATTAAAATCTAGAGAACGGACTCTTTTAGAGCTGAAGTCATCATAAACGTGCGTGTGTGTGTGTGTGTGTGTGTGTGTGTGTGTGTTCAGAAGTAGTGTTTTGTATCAGGTTAGCAAGCGTTAGACATTGAATTAAGAGCTGTTGACAGCATCCAAAAGTTTCAGTTTAATTGATGATTGTTTTAACTGGTGACTAATGCGTTTTGTGTGTGTGTGTGTGTAACTTATTTAAACGGTGGTAGATAATAAACGGCTGCTCACTCACTAATAGCACACTGTGATTGTAATCTGCTGTTACTGCTCTCCGTCCTACTTCTGTTACCAGAGATGTTGACGCAAGTTGCTCAAGTGCACATTACATGATCCACTGGCTCCAACAAAGCCCAATCGTCACCGGCATTATTCTAATATCTGAGGCTGTTTTTGCCTCAGTTTTAAGTGCGTTGTAGAAAAGTATTTTATCTCCTCCATAAAACTGTGGCTGGCCGGAGGAACAGTAAACGTTTAGACAGCCAGTCCGCCACACCACCAACATCTGTCCACATGTGGACTCCTCTGTGTGTGTGTAATGTTGGGGTTTTGGGCCCGGGCCTGTGTGATTGGCTTGTTGACCATCATTTATACACTGTTTTCTTGTGTAAGCCGCGGATCACGGATGATATGTACCAGAACCCTCCAGGAGACGCTTGGACGGAGATCTGGTCCAGACTGAACCCGTGTGATTAAAGACCTGCAGCCACAGGGTTTAGCAGCCTCGGTACGAGCCCAATGCCAACGAGGAGACTCTTTTGAGGTCATTTCTAAGCATGAGGAGAAAAGGCACATTTAAAAGATGTTTTGATTTGGACGTCTCAGTCTGGGCTGTTAGATTCAGGAGTTCTTTTCACCTTTCAGGGGTTGATTTTCACACAGGAAATTTACAAATGACGACGCAAATGAACCTGGCAAAAGCAATATGGCGGATGAAGGGTGTGAAGCAGGTGTTCAAGCAGGAAACTCACGGAGGACAACTAGTGGCCAGGTGAGGAACAGCAGGGTTTGGAGCGAGTAGAGTTTCTGCTTCATTTCAACAACAAGGGGATTAAGGTCAGATTAAGGTTCAGATTACGCTTCTGAAGAGCGGAGCCAACGAGGAGGTGAGGAGCCTCCAGGCGGAGACCCTCTCTCTCCCAGCACGGGGGCAGCAGTGCTGATTGGCAAACACACACACACACACAGTGCGTTAACCAGCCACAAACCAGCAGCGAAATGTCACACATGGGATCAGGAACAGATGTACTCCCGACACGCGAGCCGCCATCGCACACTTCTAGAATGTTCTCAGGCCCGGGTGGCCGACCAGGGCGCCGCCGGGTCCCGTCACCTCCACGCCGGGCATGGAAAAGAGCTTTACATTGAGAGGCGATGGGGAAGGCGTCACCGCCGACGTCTCCCACACACACACACACACACACACACACACACACACACGCTTCCATCTTTCTCTTTCATTTGCCCGACGTTCCGGCTCGCTGAAGCTTTCATGCGCGTTGAAAGCCGTCGGCTGGCTGCACTACACACGGCATCGAGGAACACTCAGCGAAGACGAGCCTCGCGGCTTTGATCCAGATGTTGGGGGAGGTGGGGGGGGAGGGGGGGGGGGATTGGGTGATTTGTGGGGCTTGTTGATGTTGTTTCACCGGGTGATTTGTCCATTGAGCTGCCGACACATACGAAGACTCCGCTAATGATGGGAGACACACTGAGGGTGAGAAATGTGGGGGGGGGGGGGGGGGGGGGGGGACAAGAGGCAGGACCACTGTGACCTCTGACACCTGGGAAGTGGCATTGAACATTTGGTTGTAACAGGAAACTGATTGTGATGTGAATTAAAGCTTCTAGGAAGAGACGGTTTGTCACAGGTGTTGGTTGGTGGTGGACACGTGACGTCATGTCTCTGTTTATAACATCACACTGGGGTTTTTCTCCTGCTGGTAACATTTCTAAGCTTTTAAATGTGGTGTTTTCACACTGCAAAATCCAATGAAGCAATCGACGTTTGATGCTGACTTCCTTGTTCCATGTGATGATTCGTTCCTTTCTGTTTTATTTTCATCTCACGTGAATATACTGTACGTCAAACAATTGTTAAATAATGACAATCCGTCCAGGATGAGCGTGCTCACGATTAACTCCGGACCTTCTCCGTTGATGAAACGGTGTGATTTTACTCTGATTTGTTTAAAAGGTTGATGAAAATCACTCTCGCCGCCTCCTTTTGAAACGTACACATTCAAAGTCAAATCAAGAGTCTCTTCGCGCACAACAAATGAGAGCAAGGGTGAAACCCGTTCTTTGTTCCAGCAGCCAATCTGCTTGTCATTATGAGTCATTTAGATGAAACTCGGGGGAAGAGCTGCAGCTTGCGGACACTGAAGCTCTGGATAATTGATCTTCATAAACAAGCTGCTCGGGAGGATTCACTTTGCGCTCTCTGTCCCTCGCAGCTCGATGCCGCTTCCTTTCATGAATACATGGGAATCATCTGAACGGATGTGAAGGTCAAACACTCTGTGGGGGCTCCGGCGGAAGATCGTTCCCTCCTGATCCGCCCTGCCATTGCTTTGCTTTGCTGCAAGGCGCGCGGTTGTGACGCCAGCGTGTTTCTCAGGTCACGACCCTCGCGGCTTTCTGCTCGCTGCCCCTCGGAACCTTTGAGTCGTATTCTCAGGGGGTCCGTGTCCTGCAATGCAGCGCGCAACGTTCACGCTCGGGACAAATAGTGCAATTAATCCTTAAACACATCATAAGCTCCATCTGGATAATATCCAAAAACAGCACTTGCGGGTGGAGGGGGGGGGGGCGATTAATGTCAGTCCCTGTGAGTGTTTTACATGTGGAACAATGTGCCCTCTGTGTACACGAGCGTCTCCTGCTCGCCTACAGGGGGAGGGGGGGGGGGGGGTCGCTCCTGAAGTTGCCTGAAATTCTTTAGAATCGGCCACCTTCGCCCCCCCTAAAACTTCACCCGGCCAAGGTCTTATTATCACTGCGTGTTGCTATTATCAGCGTGGTGCGGCCTTCGGTCAACAGAACTCTCAGCATGGGCCGAGGGCCCAGAGGGCCCCGGGGGAATTTACCCCGGTTGGGGGCGGCCACTTTGCCTTTTTTTTTGTGCCCCCCCCCCCCTCAACGACAGCAGATAAGCAAGTTGCATGGCTCAATAAGCCTGAGGTAAATAAATGTTGAAAGAAGTGAGCGAAGTGGCTCAATTTCATTGTCTTTTTATTTAAAAATTGTGGACTTAAAAAAACATCCAAACAATTTAAGCTTGTGGGTGACAATAATAAAAAGAAATAATATATATATATATATATATATATATATATATATATATATATATATATATATATATATATATATATATAAACGCGCTCATGCAGGAAGGAGTAAAGTTCCAGGGGCAGCGGATTTTAAATAAATACTTTTTTTTATTTACTGTTATTGGCTTTTTACAGGTACAAAGCATACACCATGTTATAGTTTTATCAAAAGTGGAAAATACTGACGTTACATACGTAACACATGTAAAAAATAAGTCTTCAATCTTACTCTCCCCGAAAGTAAGAACATACATTTCAGCATATGAAAATATCCATAAAAACACAGCTTAAGTAATTTAAGTTAATAAACAGTACAAAAAATGTAGAAACCATACGTGTCAAAATAATGGACAAAGACACCAACGACAAATGACTCCATGACTTCCATGGATGAAAAAAAAAATGTACACAAGTTCATAGTGTTTTAGTTGTTTACAGGATTCATACATCATCGAACGCTTGGCTGGTCAGAAAAAACGCACAACTAACAACCCTCCCCTCTCTCGACTCCCCCCCCCCCTTTTTTTTCTCCTGAGAGTAGGCCAGAAAAACAAGAGAGGAAAACTCCTTTTCCCGGCCCCCCGTACTGAAATCCTCCAATGACTGTAAGGCAGCGGACATGATTAATCCTCACTTGGAGCGTCTAGCCAGTCTTCTGGGAAAATAAAAATAAAAAAAAAGCACCACAAGGGACGAGAGGGAAAAGGGATCACGGCGCCGGCGGGGTCACGGCGTGCGAGCCGAGCGGGCGCTCACTTCCACCGCGTCCCGTCGGCTGCAGGTGCAGCCGGATCAAACACACATGCTTCCTTTTAAGTAAGTTAGAAAACGGAGCCCAAAGAAGACGGAGCTCGGTTGTTTCCTTTTGGCTCAGCCGGCCCGTTGGAATTATTTTGCCCGTGAGTGTTAATGTCATCTAGCGTCTTATCGCTCAGCTGCGAACGCGACAGAAGTGTTTCAAAAGGAAAGGAGAGGCAGTGCTGGTAATAAAACACAGACATGTTTGATCAAGATAACAGGAGCGCAGCTTTGCGGTCACTAAATTCAATTCAGACATGGATTCTTTTTTCCCGAGCCGCTCGGTGTCAATGGATACGTCGCGATGAGGAATGAATGCACCATTGTGCAGTTGACTTTGGACCTTTTTTCAAAAAGACTGGTAAACTATTCCAAGGTGGCTGATGACCGTCACGTCGCAGGTGCCACCCGTCTGCCTTACTGCATTAAAAGTCGTCTTTTAATTTCCAACGAAGAGAGAAACACGCAGTCCAACGTTCTCCTGAAATGTACAGTCTTCCTTTTTGTTCACATGTAGAACGTCAGCATATCCTCTTTAATAAATAGTCTCATACATATTGCTCAGCCTCCCCCTCGTTCAGGATGGTCACCGAGCCGTCCCCGCTGTTCATCTCGATGTCGTTTGCCGCCGCGTTCTCGGGCAGCAGGGCCAAGTCCTTGAACACGTCGACGTAATGTCCGAAGCCGGGACCCCAGCTCAACAGATTGTCCCAGTTGAAGCCCCCGGCTTGCTGGCCCAGTCTGTGTGGCAGGGTGTAGTGCTGCTCGCTAGGGGGCATCTGGGGAACGCCGGGCCCTCCTTCCGCCCGCCGACTGGAGTACCGCCTCTGCTTCAGCCTCCCGCCGTAGTCCTCGTCGTCAGCGTCGGACTCGTTGACCTGCGAGAGCTTGGGGACCCGGGAGCTGTAGGACACCGGCTTGTCCCGCTCGTACTCCATCTCCGAGCAGGTGAAGGAGTCGTGCGAGTCGCTCTCCGAAGAGGACTCCGGGGCGGGGATGCCGTCGGCGGGGTTGCGGACCCTCGACAGCGGCCTGCGGCAGTCCTCCTCCGAGCTGGAGCGCCCGTGGTCGGCGCTGCAGATGCTGGGGTTGCGCGGGCGCGGCGTGTTCAGCCGCTCCACCTCCTCGATGGACAGCCCCACGGGGGGCCCCGTCTCCAGGGGGATCTGCTCGATCGGCTGCTTGAGCCGACTGCCCGGCCTGGAGGCGTGGCCGTGGGCGGCCATGGTCTGCGGACTCTTGCTGCGCCTCCCCAGCCGGGTGGCGTAGTTGAACATGGGCGGCGGCGGCGGCTGGCACATGTCGCCGTGATGGTCCAGCGGGCTGCCCTCGCGGCGGCCCAGGTTGAGCTCTCTGGTCGGAGTGTTCCGGTAGAAGGAGGACGGCTTGGTGAACGGCGCCGGGGAGTGCCTGGAGAGAGGGTTCGGCGTCGGGCACGCCGAGTGGGAGTGGCTGAGCGGCGTGGACCTCAGCGCTTGGGTGTACTGCGGCTGGTAGGTGTAGCTCGTCGCTCCGAGGGGCAACGGCGACTGTCTGGCGAAGCCCAGCGGGCTGTGTCTCTGGATGGAGAACTTGGGCGTGTGGCTGCGGAACTGCTTGTAGTGCTGGATGATGTCCGCGTCGGAGGGCGCGATGCTGCTGGCGTTGTCGATGTCGTAGTGCTCGATGTCGGCCTCCGGGCCGTTGCAAGGGGCGCAGGGGGCGCTGGGCACGGTCTCGTTGCTGTGGGGGAGGTCCGTTTCATCGTAGATCAGATAGGGGTTCTCCCTCTCAATGATGTCCGGCTTGGGGTTCCCTTCCGGCTGTTTCCGAACCGTCATGTCATCTCCGTACGGCGGGATGTTATCCGGGTCGTCGAACGCCACGTTCTCGCTGCCCTTTTTCTTCTTCTTCTTCTTCTTCTTTTTCTCCTTGGGTTTCTTCTCCTTGGGTTCCTTCGGCACTTTGGTCTTGTTGCGACCCCTGCAGTGGTTGCACAGGATCAAGCTGAGCACCACCAAGGCCAGGACGGTGGCGCAGCTGCCGACGATAGCCGGCACCGCCCAGATGGGGAGGACCATCTTCTCCGAGGAGGGGCTCGGGCTGCAGACAAAGCCGCCGTTGTTGGCCGACTTGCAGACGTTACCCGGAGGGCACTGGACGCCCAGACACGCCACCAGGGTCTCGCAGCTCTTGCCGGTGTAGAACTCCGAGCAGACGCAGGTGAAGCCCGAGTGGGGGTCCGGCACGCAGCTGCCGCGGTTCTGGCAGGGGCTGGAGCCGCAGTCGCCGGGCGCGACGCACTGGTACGTGTACCACTGGTTGACGCACATCAGGCCGTCCCAGCAGGGGCTGCTCTCACACAGGTTGGGACCCCTGCAGCCGATCTTGACGGACGAGCTGGTCTTGGTCAAGGCGACGAGGCCGTGCTCTCCGGTGAACGGAAGGTTCTCCCCGTTGTACTTCACGTAGGCCAAGCAGCCGTCGAACCCTGCAGATGGAGAGCGGAGACAAAAAAAAAACGGTTCAGCTAACAGGAAGCAGCCATCAGCGGCTAACGAGCGCGCAGCGGCGGTCTGGAGGGGAAGCGGACTAATTCTCAGAATGTCCGCTGGTTTTCTTCCTTTTAAATAAGAGGGAATTGGAGCTATAACCAGAGCAAAGCCGTTTTGTTTAGATGGGAAATTGGTTCAACATTAGGACCAACAAAAAAAAAAAAAAAACTTCAAAAAATTTGTATTTAAAAACATCCATCAGTGAACAATTTGATTTGATTTAAAGTTTTTTTTTAAATGGTCAGATTCCTTGTAGCTTAAAGACATCATACATCTGGGTTGAATCAATGTGTCTGTGTCTAATTATATTTTTTCCTTCGCGTGTAGCCCGACAGCGCTGCCTCACCGGTTTAAAACCTTCCCGGTGCAGATGAAATCTATTCGTGCCTTCCTCATTAGCTCTCGGACAGGCAGTACACAACAGACGCACCTTGAGGAAACGCTCGTTTCAGAGGCGGCCGGCCACAAATCAGACTACACGTCTTTGATGAAGGCCCCGGTCCTCGTGCAACAAAGCTCCACAAATAAGTCAACATGCTCATTTTTGACCATATTAGTGCATAGTATCAGGTTAGTTTTCCTCCCCTTGAAATTTGCTGTGTTGCATTACCTCCCTGTGGAAAACCCCTCTTTGACCTTTTGCAAACAGCTCATGCTGGAGGACATCGGATCTGTGAGTTAAATCCCCACAAAGACGAGAGTCCACGGAGATGGGATGAAAACACCAAAAGTCCTCAAAGGAGGTTCCAAGACAAGTCAAATTAAATCCGTATTAGTTATTTTGGTGCATGAACGATACACTGATAAAAAAAAACATTTATTTAAGTAATTTTAAACTCACAGCAGGTAAATCTAAGCAGCACAAAATAGGGTCAGAAGTTTAAACTGCGGAATATTAATTCATTTGGGGGGAAAAAGGGGGTTTGTGCTGGATTTGAGAGAATCGCTTTATCACACACAAGAGGAGTGTGTGCATGTGCACACATTTTTACGATATAACTGTTTGTTTTTTTACTTGTGCTGCTGCGTTGGTTATTCTGTTTGTGAGCACTGTGATTTTTAGATAAAAAAAAATGACATATCTCTTGTCAAAACATTAAAACAAATGTGCAAAAGAGAACATTTGGGAACATTCGGGGGAAATCTACTTTAACAAAAAGACAAAGCAGTAAAATAAATACCTAAATGTCTGTTTTAGATGTTTTCTTTCCACTAGTCCAAAAGGAGACGTGGAAGGGAACTCAAAACTAACCAGTGTCTGTAAAACTTTGCATTCGCCTGCAATCAAAACCGACTGCAGGAATTAAAACAACCAAACTCTCCCATCTTTGTGTCAAGAGCTCACAATCCAATAAGGGTTTTGGCACCGATAACAGACGGAAAGGAGTGAATTTCATCACGTGGCGGGGGCCTCACCTGCCGCGGTCTTCTGCTGAGCGGGTCCTGGGGGGACCCCTCCCAGCGAGAAGGTCACCACGCTGAGACCTCCGAAGTCCTGCGTGGCGTGCTGGATCACCCTGGAGTGGCTGCCGTCCACCAGCAGCACCGTGGTGGAGCCGTTCTTCAGCAGGTGGAGCGTGTGCCACAGGCCGTCCGACAGCGCCGCGTCCCCCACCGTCCGCTCCACCTTCCCCCCGACGCCCGCGTCCGAGACGTAGTGGATGTTGCCGTTCCTCAGCTGTGAGACGGGGGGAAAAAGCAGGTGTACGTCTGTATGTTAGTATGCACGTTTAATGACAGATGCACTGGATGAGATACTTGATGAACTGCTCAATCCCTCAATCTGCCCGCTGGTAGGATTCTATTTAATTCATTTCAGCCGTATGATGAATGTTCTCTGAGTAGGGCAGCTTCTTCAGATTAATGCGCTGGTTTATCTTGTCAGCATCAAACATAAACCACCAGAGGAAGACTCCTCTCGGCCTTCACCCAACTGTCCCGCCCCTCTGCAGCGCTCTCAGGATCCCGCGTTGAGGTTAGAGATCGGAAGACGACGAAGATGCAGCTCGTCGCTCGTGAATCTTCCTCCCGGCGGGAGCTGTGCCGCGACCTGTGCCCCCCGCTGCCGTTATTCGGCCAGATGATGACCAGAAGCTCGGCAATAACTAATTCAGAGATGTGCGCTCGTTCAAGCGGCCACTGGGGAGGCCGCCGTCCCGAGAAGAAAGGACGCCGCGCTTTCAAATAAATAAATCAATCGAGCTCACTTCGGCTTTAGACCACAAATTTGCGGCTTTTCACTGTGCATGGAAATCTCATACGCGTACTCCCGTCTTCGATGGAAAAGTAATCCACGCTTTCCTCCCTTTTTCAGAGACCCCCAAAAATCAGCAATGATAAGTAGCTTCCGAAAGAATTGATTTAAAATGGGAAAAGCGGACGGCCCCTCAGGCCAAAGAAAACTGCTCGAAAGCTGGGAAACCAATCAAGACGTTTATCTATTAAACATCTCTGAACAAGTTTTTTTTTCTTTAATAAATCAGTATATATAGTCCAGACTCCACATGTACACATACTGTGGGTAGTCCCCTGCTGTTTTGCTGTTTTAGACATCGTGGTACTTCTAATACTAGGAACGACGATTCATACACGAGAGGAAGTCTGACATATTACGGCGGAAAAGGGCCGGCGAGGATGCAGGTGGTCTAAAAAAAGGGAAAATTGAAGAGGACAAATGAGCTCAGGCCTCTTTGGGCAGCTGCCCAGGACCGAGTGCGGGTGGGGGGGCAGAATATAAGGGAAGAAAAACAAAATTGCACTAAGAAGGAGGTGGTTGAGTTTACCTAAAGGACACACACACACACACACACACACCTGCTACAAATGCAGCAAATCAGAAGCTCTGTCGTCTCCAACGAGTGCATGATCTGATTTGTGTGTTGGCACCGCGTGGAAACTAATCACCATTGTGAACTAATTATGACTCCACTAATGAGCCTTGTGAGTCCGGCTGACGAGCACGTTAGCGACGGCTGTAATGCTGAATGCGGCGCGTCAATTAGCCGAGTAACAGAGGCCAAACTGAGCTGAATCTTCTGCTACGGCTTCCTCCCACGACCACTTCCATGAAATGTATTTTATTGTGAAACCACGACCCGAGGTGCTGCGATTCATTATTTAAAGGTCTGAATCACTGAACAGTGCATCTGGGGGAAGAAAGCAACCATTCTGGAAAGTACTGGGAGAATTGAAACACTGCGTTATGACAAATGTACCAATCGAGCCGTTATGGCGTTTGTGCACTCGCACACATCAGGTGACTGCTGCACCACGTCACTTCCCCCCCCTCACCTTCACCGTGGTGTAGTTGCTGCTCTCCTGCACGTGCAGCAGAGTGCCGCTCTTGCTGCGCGTCCTGAACTTGACCTCCAGGCTGCTGGGACGTGCGGGTTCAGAGGTCACGCCCTGCAGCGACTGCCTCAGGAGGACGTCGCGTCTCGGGCCCTGCTTCAGGGAGTAGTCCAGGCGGCCCGCGCCGTCCATGGACAGGGCGGTGTCCGCCGTCATGTCTGTGGGATGGAAAAGGAGAACGCCCTTAATCCTGAATCCCACTGAATGACACTCGAGGCCAAAATAATTGTCCCAAACCCCTCAGCCCGCAAGCACTAATCGGTCCTCCCGTTAGCTTCACACTCGTTAGAGCTTTCGTCTAACTTTTGGGGAGAAATGATTGCCGCTTTACCTGCTGTTTCACAGCTCTCTACACTTCATACACGGCACCTGAGACTATTTCAAATGAAAAGCACTTGATCGATACTTCAGCAATGACGGTTTCCTTGAGGAAATTGTACTTTTGTACAAATTGTACAACTTCTTGTTGTTCTGGTTCTGCTCCCCTCTTGGCTGAATGCACTTATTGTAAGTCGCTTTGCATAAAAGCATCAGCTAAATGATGAATGTACAAACAGGAAATAGTCACTGAGCTTCTCGCACGCCTTACTTTACAAGAACATACCAACATTACTTTGCTGGTGGGTAAAAATGACTCAATTTGCTGTAAGCACGACGTACAAGATGAGTGGTGGCGTCTCAGCAGCATCATTATATCATAAACTCTCTGACCTCAATGGCACCTTGTTTATTTTTCTCTTCCTGAAGAAGCAGCACATAACAGAGAGAGCACGCATCCTTTTGTATTAGAGGAAAATTGCTGTGATTCGTGCCACGAAGCAAGCCGCATACTTTCCCACAAGATCGACCCTGACGGGCAAACAGAAAAACCAAATGCAGACTTCTCAAGCTCTTTGTTTGTTCCCAGTAACCATTTGAACGTTTCCAATAGAATGTGGAATGGATAATTGGTAACAGTGTTTGACGTAGTGTAGCACCTCGTACAGTAGCGGCATCTTTCTGGCAGTATTTATCCGCCTCAAATGTCTCTCCGTGTGTGTTTTAGTTCTCCGACGTCAAGAAGTAATATCCTTAAATGCACCAGCGCTGTGAAATAAAACGCATGAATGTGGCTCGTATTAAGCCACGCGGCGCGATGCGATGACTCATCGTTCCGGGAGGGAAGAATCCATAAATAATCAAGATGGAAATATTCCTTAACGAGTGCAGCCTCAGCGATAAAACTTCAAAAAAGGCGTTGAATGCTCTCCATACTCACATTTCTCACAGAATTTGCCGGTGAAGCCGTCCACGCACTGGCACTGCTGCCAAGACCAGCGGTCCAGGCAGGTGCCCCCGTGTCTGCAGGGGGCTGGCCCTCAAGCCCCTCTCCGTTCTGGGTATTTAAAACACGAAGAAGAACCGCGGTTTTTGTTTCACATTTCCCCCCCTCCCCACGCGGAGAGGAGAGGGAGGGCCTTGGGAGAGAAGGGGGAGTTGTTGCCCGAAAAAAAGGAGGAAAAATAAAAAAGGGTTGCAGACGAGCTGTGATTTCTCTCTCCCGTGCTGCTATACAAAAAAACAAAAAAAAGAAACGCATAAAGGACCCCGAGAGGATTAGCATATTAAAAGATCCGTTCTAGCCTCACTATTCAGCAGCAGGACAGAAAAGAAAATCTCCGGAATTCTGCAATTGGTTTCCCCCCCCCCATTAAATTATCTACCGTTTGAATTAAAAAAAATCAAAACTCTGGCGAGCGTCTGGGAGTGTGAACAGATGTCCCACAGCGAGAGTCGAGGAGGTTAGAGAAGACAGACAGATGGGAAGAAGAGGGAGATGATGGACAGGGGGTAGTAAATGGGTGGTGTGGGTGGGGGGGGGGTTTGGGTATGCGGACCTGTCAAGGATGCCACGCGATGCCAGCGCCTGACTGGGCTCCAGCGGGCGGCCGTTGACGGCGAACTCCATGATGCAGCCGACAAAGTCGTGGGTGGCGACCTGACCGCGGCGATGAAGGACGGGTTCTATTGACCCGACGCCGCCAACCGAGAGCCTGTTGGGCTGCACGTCCAGGATCCTGCACACACACACACACACACACACACACACAGAGAACAGAGTCAAATGCAGGCAGACACAAAAGTGCATTTGCACAGAAATCAGAGAAGCTTACAAATGCATTCAAGTATGCACGCACACACTGCGACAGAAAGACACCGCGGGTCAGCGAGTTCCACAACAACAGGGTCCTGAGACCCTCACAAAATAAACCTTCTGCTCTCTGACTCGCACACATGTGCAGTGTCGAACGTTCACCCCACAAGGCCTGGCTCACAGCGCCGCGTGGAGCAAATGGTGACCGGCTGATTGACAAGAACGTAGATTTGCAATCGGTGCCTTCATTTTGATCAGTGTGCGTGGTTTTAAATTTTGTTGTTGTTGGGCGTTTGCATCCATCTGGATAAAATGAGCAAAAAGTTCTCCTCAGAGCTGCGTTGTATTCTGCAGTCCTCTCTCTATTGCTATAAGTTAGGGATAACAAACATAAAGATTTTAGTTTCAACACGCACACAGCTCAGCTTTGGGAGCAGAGTCAAACTCAACAAACACATAGTGTGGATGAACTGATCTGATGAACAAAGCTATTGTCCGACTGAAGTGTGGCTCTCGCCCATGTCGCTTTCTGTTTTTGTTTTACTGGGATTACCAGGTAGCCTCTTCAACACTTTAAAACATATTCAATTCAAACTCCGATTGGTGAGAAGGCGTTTCAGGAGGAAAACACATTTTTGGAGACATTATTTATATCATATTGCTAAGCTAGAAAGACATAAATTGCTAATATGTTCCCACAATGTGCAGAGAACCTTTATTCAAACATGGAAAATGTCCTCATGTGTTGAGTTTCTCAACACCAGGACCTAAAACTGTCAACGCGTTTGCAATGTATACAGTCGGATCACAGAGACGGAACATCTGTGTACTTTGGGGGGGGGGTTTCCTCACCAGTCCGTGTGCACTGCCACATTGCTCACGGCGCAGTAGCCTGGTTCCTGGTCATCACCACACAGGTCCACCGTCAGGGAGGCAGCCTACGTGGCAACACACACACACACACACACACACACACACACACACACACACACACACACACACACACACAAACGTTAGTTGTTGGCCCGCTGGTACGTCATCTTTTGGAAGCGACTCCTGAGGGAATGACGTGGTTGGTTGTCGTCGCTCCGTCGCTCTTTCTTTATAATCACTTGCACGTGTTAGTGAGTGTGTCACTGGTGGCGGTTTTGATGCAAACACCGTCACCAGAAACGATTCGCTCAGCTTAAGCCAAAGCGGCGTTACGGTAGAGTTGCCTCAACGCGGCCGACGTTATTTAGCCAGTGGGACGCACAGAGACTCGCATAGAACGTCTTGATTATCTGTTGATTTTTTTTATTAATGTAATTCAATTATCACTGGAACCAAAGTCCGACTTAATAGCATCTCATGCTCAGCAGCGTCACTTTCCCTCCACGGTTACGCTTCAACCCTCTGAGAGTCACTTCCAGCGCCACAGTCATTCCTCCCACAGTATTTTGGTCCTCAATATGAGTTTTGTCCACCAAATGGCATGCAGGCCAATTACTTTTCATCAACTCACCCCGCTGTTTGACAGACAAGCGGCACAAGAGAAGCCGTACATTACAGTGAAACATTTCCTATTTCCCGTTAATGGTACTAAAGCTTTCGTCCAGATGTGGCTTACTCTCCCTCTCTCTCTCTCTCTCTCTGTCTCTGTCTCTGTCTCTCTGTGTGTCTCTCTGTCTCGGTGCTCTGAGAGCAAACCGCCTTACCAGGAAGAAACTAAATGGGCTGGTAAAAAAAACCTGTACGGAAAAGTGTGTGAATGTGTTGAAAAACCGGGGCAATCACGCTCCACCTCTCCTGGATCTCAAGTAAACACGGACCACACCGGCCTCCGGATCTCCGACCCAATTCCCTCACACGCTCTCTAACTCCCAGAACCCCGCAGTCCGCCACATGGACACTGACGGGGAAGCAAAACACAACAACAACAACGAGGCGAAGGACACAACACATTTGTGACTCTCTGAAGTCTAAAGAACTTTGAAGCAACATGAACATTTAATAAGCTCTTTCGCTGTGATCAAAGGCGCTGCGGCCTCACGCCGGGGTTGAGAATGTACTGAATGTGTTCTTCCATAAATGAAAACCAATGTAACACAAAGATTTTTTTTGAGGGCTTGGCTACCATCGGCGCAAACGCGAAAGAAGCGCCTCTGGAGATCATTTGTTTCCCGCCGTGACCGATTTACTGGAGGCAGCGTTGCTCTCTGTTGTGGTGCAGACACGGAAAAAACAGCTTTTCTGCTTGTTTCAAGTGTAATTAATTCATCTAACCAAAATCTTCACGATCAGCTGCTGGTGCTAATCAGCTACAGCGAGCCCTAATTTGCAAAAAAAAAAAACTTTCAAAGAATTCCCCGGTTTGAAAAAGAAAACTAGCTGAGCTCTCTGATTAGATGATCTCGGCTGAGGTCACATGATCACACAAATGATGTGACGCCGTGTGCGAAGTCAATGTGGTGTTTTTTTAGCTTGTTGCACCCGTCCTGATTGCTTGCCCGGCAATGATTAAATCAATCGACCTGTTTCCCAACTGAAAACTCTGAAAACGTATCAGTCTACAGATTCAACACATTGCTAATTAGATAAATTGGCAAACCGCACTTCTGTTCTGACCCGAACGTGAGCTCCTGAGTTGTGAAACTTTCTGTCATTCACTGTGTTTGACAATTAAACAGCTTTGGATGAAGACTGTAATCAGTGTGGTGGAACCGGTGTGCTCCCTCTGATTACTCGCGGCTCTCGGTGGCGAAGCGGTGCGTGACCGTGTCCGCGGTTTCTGTCTGCTTCTGTCGACATCGGCTCGGAATCCCCGAAGGCGGAAGAGAAACCGACCGCGGACTCGACCGCCGCAGTGACCCGCAGCACCTTCTGCAAGCACGCCGATCGGGTTCACTCCTCCGTCACGCGGGGCGCCTCCGCGCTGGGCGCATGGCGCGGACCCAATCACAGGTCTCCACGTGTGCTGGATGTATGCATCCCCCCCACCGCCGCCGATTTAACGACTCTACCAGCTTCCTAAGAAACTCCGGGCGCACGGAGGGAAGTGACAGATTTGAAGTCCAGCGGGAGAGCTACATTATGGAAGCTCTGACAGGGCCGGAGGGATTCTTTCCCCCCCCCCCCCCCCCTCTTTTCTTTGCCACTGCGTTGCTGGCAAGGAGAAACCGCCGCTTCAGAGCACAGGAGACAGAGTTTCAACCTTGGGGGGGCCATTTTGGATCCTCCTACTGTAAATCACAGCGAGCGATAAAGTGTAATTACAAACCTTGAAAACCATAAGCTGAGCCACCTGTGGTTAGGAGGACGTTGGGGGGGGGGGGGAATTATCATCACTACCACGTCCGTACCACTAAGCTTTCTCTACATACCCCATAAGTTAACTATTAATCCACAAAACAGTTAAAGAATGCATGAGGAAAAAACGTCTGACGTTCTTACCATCCCGGCTCTCCTGGCGATGACTGTGTGGAACTGCCCGTCGGACACTTTTATCATGGTCATCAGTTTGTAAGTTCCACTCCCCAGGTTGAAGGAGAAGCGCATCCGTCCCTCAAAGATCTCCAGAGCCAGGAACTCGGCCTTGTCTCCGGTCTGGTTGTCGTGGTTGTACATGAGCAGCGCGTTGCTCTTCAGGGTAGCGAACTTGATATAGATGTAGTTGTTGTTGGGATCCAGAGACGGAAACTCCATGTAGGAGAGCTCCTCAAAGCCGTAGCTGTTAAGTTCACAGTGTTTGCCAAAAACCCCTGAGGACAGAAACAAACCCAAAGAGGAATCAGAGAGGAAGCCAATGAATCATTCACACTGGTGCGGCGATAAAAATATCTACAGATAAAACAGAATCTTTATCAAGTGATATCATTTAGTTAGAACAAACAGATTAAAAGCTGTCAGGTCACACTTTTAGCTTTTTCGAATTCATTTTTGATGCAAATCATGGCAAATGGAGAGACAAGATGAGAAGTGTCCACATCCAGCATAACTTTATTTTCTTCTACTCTACAGCGGCTCGCCTACGCCCTGAAAAGGTTCCCTACTATTACTTACCAAATGGACAATGACAGTAATATCCATCCACCCGATTCTGACAGGACCCGCCATTAAAACAAGGGTTACACTCACAGTGATTGATGATGGAATCGCACGTTTTGCCTGGGTTCACAGAACAACACAAATTAAAATGGATGAGGTGGGAGACAACACAGGGAAACCCCGAGGGGAACACAGTTCACTTCCCCCCACAGGCCGAGGCCTGCAGGCCTTTAACACAACACACTGCAAACAAAGAAAAAACCTGGGTCCAACAAATCATTCAAAGTTTCAGCGTCTGTTTGAAACGATCGTGAAATATATAATATGAAGATGTGATGTCATCTGTTTTGCTGCAGTTTTGACTTATTCTAAAAAAATGTTTTGACACAAGTGACGGTGCTGTGGAATAGAAACGGCTCGTCCAAGATGAAAGAATTTGATCCAAAACATCTTGAAACCTTCATGACCTCACTCCACTGGCAGAAATGTTTCTCACTAAGAATAATCACATTTTCAAAACTCGCTGAAAGATAAATAAAGACAAATAAAGTTTGGATAAGGCTGTTGCTTTTGGTTTGCAGAAAGACAAGCGTTGCAATGCACATCGTGACGTCGTGACAAAGAATGTGAAAATGACGATACAGATAATGGACAATAAATGATCCAGGCATGGCACAAAACAAAAAAACTGACAATGAACCTCTGCAGATAGTTTTCAGGTTGTAAATCCACACACAAGTTGCTTAACGGAGATTGATTCTGCTGCCAAAAAGCAGTCTGGGAAGACAGGAAGTTGAGAGTTCACTGTGAGACCATGAAAACTACTGTAAGTCAATAGGTGCACTTCTTCAGCAGGGTAATTTATCTCGATAAGACCTAGAAGATTTGTGGTAATTTTCTATCGTCCTAATAAAAAGGGACAGTAATTACTTGACTTGAGGCAAATCGTCTGCCACGGCTGCTTTGAAAATGTCTTTCAGATGCTGAAGTTAGCAGGATTGAAATGACTGTAAATACGCTCCCATTTGGTTAAGGGTAATAAAGCAGTGCATTTATTACAATAGAAACATGAAAGTCCTGATTGGATCTTTCATAAAGCTGTTCCATTTGTCATAAAACTGAAATGAGAAAGCCTCGTTGTGTGTCCAGTTGGATTAAAACGCTATCTGTGTGTGGTCATAGCTGCATGCACATGAAGGCCGCAGTGAAACGCGATACTGGTGAGCTGTGTACGGAGTCTACGCTCATCCTGACAGGGGTCAGCTTCAAATCATCTTTTTTATTAAAAGCAAACATGGAGTTGATACCCCCCAACTAGTAATCCAAAAAACAAACTGTTTTTGGCAGCCGTGCTCCCCCCCCCCCCCCCCCATGTCTGACACAAGTGACTGTGCGGTCGGACATAACGTGTGACTCTTGCGTGTGCAGTACCTGCAAAGCCGGAATTGCAGAGGCAGTTGAAACCGCCGGGGAAGTTCTGGCAGAGCGCGCCATTCTTGCAGGGATTGGAAAGGCATTCGTTCACATCCCTCTCACAGGCCATCCCCGTGAAACCTTCAGGGCAGGTGCAGGAGAAACCCCCCACCAGATTGTGGCAGGTGCCGCCATTGTGGCAGGGCGATGGCTGGCACTCGTCAATGTCCGTCTCACAGAGGCCTCCGGTGTATCCCGGCCTGCAGCTGCAGGCGTATGGCTGCAGGGGGTGGTTGGAAACAAGGATCACTGGGACACTTTCTTCTGTCTTCATATCAGGCCCGACACTGAGACGCCTCTTGCAGCTGCCCCCGTTCTGGCACGGGTTGCGTGTGCACGGATCATGGTCCACCGCGTCTATTTGCACCCCGCTCTGCCTGTATAAAATGTCTTTGATACTCTGGAAGAATGTGGCCACGCCACTGGGGTTGACATATTGTCCGTGGCCGCGTTTCACAGCTGCCATTATGAAAGTCTGATTGTTGAGTTCAAATGCTCCATAAAGCAGCACCCCGGTGCCCAGGCCCGCTAGCTGAGAGTTGGCAATGCGCAGGAAGCTGAGGTAGTGGTTGGTCAGGAAGTTTTTGACTCCTTGAGACTGCAGTCGGATTAGAATGCTGTTGTCCACTGTGGCGTTTGTGAAACCCATGAAGAGGACCCGGGCCGTGTTGCTGACGGACCCGTGGACGCCGTCGCTGCTGCGGACGGTTAGTTCGAAAGTCCCATCCGTTGAGCGCGCTTTCGAGTTGAGGCTGCATGTTCCAGTTGGGATGTTGAACAGGCCCGAGGACGGCGGAATAAGTGAGCAGTGGAATCTATCCTGAACGTCGGGGTCTTGCGGTTTGACATCTCCCAAAGAACCTCCGGGGAACATGTTCCCAAAGTAGTGGACAAAGATTTCCATGGACCTCGTCTCTGAGGGATTGTCGTTCTGATCGTTTATTTTGACGTGAATAGTTCCCGTGGAGGACATTTGAGGGACACCAGAGTCCTTGATCACAACAGAGAGGTAGAAGTTGCTAATCTGTTCCCTGTCAATCTCCCGACTGGTGGTTAACACTCCGGCTGGACTAAGGCTGAAGTAGCTGTTGGCGGAGCCCGAACCGATAAGGCTGAATAGGAAAGGGCCTTGGTTTGGTGGTAGATCTGCGTCAGACGCTGTCAGTGTTGTGACAACGATGCCAGCTCTCTGATTCTCCATCACCTCGGCGTAGGCGGCTGTCAGAGTGGGACCGTTGTCGTTGATGTCTTCCAGGTTCACGATCAGGGTAGTGCTCCCGGTTGCAGGAGGTGTGCCAGTATCCACGGCAAGAACTGTAAGATTATACACAGGAGTAGTTTCCCTGTCAAGCTCCGCTGCCACTGACACCTGGCCGGTTTTCGGGTCGATTGTGAAAACATTTTTATCAAAGGGAGGAGCGATGGTGTACGAAAATCGGCTCCAGCTCGGGACGGAGTCCGAGTCCACAGCACTCACAAAGGTAACGAGACCTCCGGGCGATAGACCTTCACTAACCTGCACGTCATACAGTTCTTGGGTAAAAACGGGGGGATCGTTGGCATCAAGGACTGTGATGTTCACAAACACCTCGTCGATATCTGCCCCCCGGATGCTCCCGGCGTTCTTTGCCAAAACCTTCAGTGAAATCTTCTCCTCTTTCTCGCGGTCTAGACTACCGGTCACATAAATCTGGCCCGTTTTCCTGTTGATGCCAAAGCCCTTCTTTCGACTCTTACCGAAAATGAGGTAGTAAACCACTCCGTCGTCTCCTTGGTCTCGATCGCTGGCGAACACTTCCCCGACCACTGTGCGTTTTGGAGCAGCTTCAGATACTTCAAAGTAGTACTGTTTTGAGACAAAGCGGGGTACGTATTCATTGGCTCCCTTCAGCTGAATGTTGACATTGGCGAAGCTGCAGCGCTCCTCGTCTGGGACGTTGAAGGCCTTCACTGTCAAATGGTAGACCTGCTTAGCCTCGTAATCCAAGAAGCCCTGGGTGGTGATGGTGCCCGTGTTGGGGTCGATGACGAAGAGGTCACTGTCTGATGACTGTATCACGTACGCCATGACTGCGTTGGCCCCCGAATCGCGGTCCGTGGCGTTCATTTTGACCAGAGTGGTGCCGCTGGGAACGTTCTCCTGCACGACGGGGAAGTACTCGTCAGGATTGAACACCGGAGGGTTGTCATTCACATCGCTCACGCGTACTGTGACGGAGACGTGGCTTGTTTTAGCGATCCAGCCGCCGTCGGTGGCTGAGACTCTGAGATCATGTTGCTGCTTCTCTTCAAAGTCCAGCGGGCGAGCCAGGGATAAGACGCCCGTCTTACTGTGAAGTGAAAACAGACCCTTGTCGTTGCCTGAAGTAATATCGTACGTGATCAGGCCGTTCATGTCTTTGTCTTTATCTCTGGCAGACAGAGTCCTGATGGCCGTTCCCACAACAAGGCTCTCGGGTACGGTAGCTGAGATTTGGCTTTGTGAGAACTCAGGTGTGTGGTGGTTTTCCTCCGTGACTGCGACCCGAACGGACGTCCGCGAGGACAGAGGAGGATTTCCTCTGTCCTTCGCTGTGATGTCGATGAGGAAAAATGTATTCGTATCAGATGTGAGGGAGGAGGCAACGGTAATCCAGCCACTTGTTTTATCTAGCTTGAATTTCCTGGAGCTGTTTCCTCCGGTTATCAAGTACTCAACCTCAGAATTAAGGCCAAAGTCTTTTTTGTCGTGGGCCACAATTCTGATGAGCCTGGTGCCGACCTTGACACTTTTGGTGACCGGAGTAAAGTAGCTCGGTGAATCAAACTCGGGCCGATTATCGTTGCTGTCCACGACGTTCACAATCACGGTCGTCTCGCTCATCAGAGGCTTCAGCGCCCGGTCTGAGGCTGTGACTATGAAGCTGTGGCGGTTTATATTAATGCTACTGGCACCCGTCGAGTTCTGGTACTTTAGCTGCTGCTTCACAAATATCTCCCCGGAGCTGGCGTTGATTCGGAAAAACTCTGACTGGGACCGAATGAAATAGAAGATTTTGCCGTTGAAACCCTCGTCGGGATCTGTGGCGGAAACCTGTGTGACCAGGGAGCCCACCTCGGTGAGCTCAGGGTAGTCCAGATAGTAGGAGGGACGACTAAACCGGGGTGCGTTATCGTTAACATCCGTAATAAATATGGTGACATCTGTGCTTACTGTCCAGCCAGAGTCGTGGGCCGACACTTTGACAATGTAATGGCCTGTGTCTTCTCTGTTAAGCGGCCTGCTGATTGTTATGTCTCCTGTGTTGGGATTGATGTTGAACGGAAGGCTGGCGTCGGTGATGGAATAGCGGCTAACGGCATTGGAGCCGGCGTCCTCGTCCGTGGTGGTGACCCTGGTGACGGTGTAACCCACCGGGGCGTTTTCAGCCACCGCCGCGCTAAAGATCTTGGAAAACCTCGGGGCGTTGTCGTTCACATCCAGCACGTTGATGAGCACCTTGACCGCCGTGGTTTTGGGTGGCAACCCGCGGTCGGTGGCTTTGACCCTCAGAGTGTACTGAGCCGCCTTCTCCCGGTCCAGCGGCCGGGTGGTCCGTATCTCGCCAGTCGCTCTATTCACGCTGAAACTGTTCTCCTTGTTGCCATCGACGATGGCGTATTCAAGCTGTCCATTAGGCCCGCTGTCCAGATCGACCGCAGAGACCATCAACACCCGCTGAGGCGAAAGGTTCTCCAGTATTTCAGCATGGAAGGGATCCTTATCGAACACCGGGTGGTTGTCGTTGACGTCCAGCACGGTTAATTCCACTTTCTCATAAGAGGAATAAGGTGGGAATCCCTGATCTCTGGCCTCAATCCAGAGAACATATTTCTGAACGTGCTCGTAATCTAAGGGATGTCTGATGGACAACTCGCCCGACAGCTGGTCAATATGAAAGGCGTTATCCAGGTTGCCGCTGGCAACGTAATACGACAGCGGCCCTCCCCTCATAGAGGACCCGGTCACCGTTGTGACGACGTGGTTGGTCGGCTGGCTCTCCGGGAATGTGAACGCACGCTCCTCCAGTTTGATGACGGGGAAGCTTCCTCCGGTGACGAAGCGGACCGTCACCGTGGTCGTGTCCGTTTTGGGGTTCGCGCCGCCGTCTTTCACCCGAACCGTCAGAGTAACTTCTGAGCTGCCGGTCAGCTTCTCATTGGCGGTGATCGCACCTCTGATGGGGTCGATTTTGAACTTCTCAGAGTTGCGGCCTACAAGGGAGTAGTGCAGCTGGGCGTTGGAGCCGGAGTCCTCGTCGGTGACAGTAACTGCAAAGACCAGGGACCCTAAAAACACAAATGAGTATTTTATCATCATTTTTTGTTATTCTAAAGATGCTAAGAATGCAAAAACTGCACATAAATACATGTTAAGAGTTATATTTTGCTCTACTTTCGCAATGACTGTGACACTAACGCTAAAGACACACGTCTTTTAAACAGGACGCCATGTTTGCAGACGTTTCCTTTCTTATGTATTGACTATAAATGTACTGATCCGGCCCCTGCACTGACCTGCTGCGGTGGAGGCGGGTATGTGGGTGACGTAAGGGTGGTGGTGGAAGTGTGGGGGGTTGTCGTTGATGTCGGCCACCGTCACCGACACGGTGGCGGAGCTCGACAAGCCCTGAGGCTGTCCTCCATCTGTGGCTACAACCAGCAGCTGGTAATTGTTTCGGTCCTCTCGGTCCAGCAGGGAGCTGGTGATGATCTGCCCGGTAGCCGGGTTGATGGAGAACTGTCCGTGTCCTCCGGCCAGACTGTAGCTGTGGGGAAGAAAAAGTAGGACACGTTTCAGCGAAAGCATTGTGAATTTGATGAAGTTGTGAAAACATTCTCCAAAACTCAGTGATTAGATGAAGTCATTTTCTTTTTTAATTTGCTTTAACTACCTGTCGGAAAAAAAAGCAAATACAAAGAATTCCAACACTCTATTATTTAGTCTATTTTCTAAGTTCAATCAATAAAAACCTTTCAAAAGGGCAGAAAGTCATTCCATTGTAAAGGGAAGGGGAAAAGTATTTAATTACACTTTATTATTCTTTAATTTCTTAAAACTAGTCACAATTCATTATTGTCAGTGGTTAGGGAGCTACTCTAGCTTCTGCAGCGTGTGCCCAGCATGTTAAAAATGACCATTACGTGTAATAAGTAACTCTTTGAACATATTGTTTGCTGCAGCGTCAGAGAATGAAGGCTCTTTTTTAGTTTTGTCCCGATGAGGTCTATAGAGAGCGCTGTTTCTACCTCGACAAAAGTTCATTTAACAGAAGAATATGGCCAATAATGATCACCGCTTTGTTTGCTTAACTGACTGATTGCGTCGACTGCAGCCGCTCGGCTGAGAGCTCACAGAGAGCCACTGTGGCTCAGTCTGCAGAACTCAAATAAAAAATACATGACAAGCAATACGAGTGAAAGACCACATAACACGCGCCTGCTCGGGACTGAGGGGCCACAGTGTTGGGCTTCCAGCCCTAATATCATGTTTCACCAGCAGGACCCAGACGTAAATGTAAACTGACACATACATGTACACACCAGTGCATATTTTGAAAAGGGCTCCTTGAAAAAGCGTCGCCCTCCAGAGACGGGAGGACAAATTACAGAACGCCGTGTGAAAGCAGAGACGACGCAAAGCTTATTTGGACACCATCAACAACGTAAACTGTCACCCGAACCCGAACACAGTCCAGGGTCTGGACATGCCTTCAACGGGCTGGGAGAGTCAAACTAATAACTGAGAGTTACCAGTTCTGTTCTCCGTTAAGGGCCTTGAACCCCCGACGCGCGCAACTCGTGCTGTCATTTGCAATTAGCATCCTCGTTATCGTGTTTTGGGAAACTGGAGCGCAGAGAGAGCGATACCCCCCGATGTGCACCCGGAGGAGTTTTAGGGAGGAGGGAGGACGGGTCGTGAGAGACCGGCCAGAAGCTCTTCCGTGGGATGGGGGGGGGTGGTGGTGGGGCGCCAGTGTGAAAACGCTGATGTCCAGCTTGAGAAGGGCGGCTGGAAACAATGACTTTGGGCGTTGACTAAAACCCGGCACTCTGCTTCTTAGCTCCTGTCAACAATTGCGACATCGGCCGGGAATCTCGCGACGCCGGTGACGAGTTAAAAGGTTTCAGTGAAGGCGCGAGGAAAGCCAAAAGCCAGCCCTGTACGGCCGTGACACGATACTTTCACACGAGGGAATCGAAGCAGAGTGAAGCGGACCTGGTTACTCGCTGCAGTTACTGGAACCCGGGTTGTAGAAGAAAAGGGGTTCCGTTAGTCTCATGCACACAAAAGATTTCATTCCCGCGTTAATCCGTCAAATAAAGTAGAAATTGAAATAAACCTTTAGTGCAAATTATCTACTGTTTCCTTCAGAAGTCTCTGGAAAAGAATAATGAACTATGAGGTCATTTTTGGTGTATGACTTTTTTCCTCATGAAATAGATGAAAGAGAAAGGATCATTTTAATGGTGATTTCCGGGAAATATTGTTTTGCACGATTATTGAATGAGCAGAAAAACCAGTGTGAACGATTGTTAGACGTAAAGTGGATGGAACGTGCTGTGAAGTTCACCTGGGGGGTCTAAAGCAAGCACCGTACACATTTCTGTCTCGGCTATCTTGTTAAAGCATAACAAAAAAATTCCAAAAATCAAAACAAAGAGACTATATTCTTTATCAGTGCAATCCAGACCTGTAGTGAACTGGTGTCTGCTGGGAAATGGGGGAGGACTTTGTGTCTGGCCTCACGAGCCCGGTTGCCAAATATTAATAGTGCACGTCAAACTTTTGTTTATTTCTCAAATGTTGCACATTACCTCAGATGAAGTTTCTTCTCTATGTCTATTTTGCTTCATTTTTAAGCATTTTTTGTTCTATTGACATAAAGAGTGTTAAGACTTTATTTGGGGTGGAATGTTTTTGAAAGCATACGAAGGAAAATCCTCCAAAGGGCCTTTAGAAGTAAAAATAAACCATGATAAAATAGTCATAAAAGGAAGCCGATGAGCGCGAAGGGCCGAACGGTACCTTATCACGCCGTTGACGCCCACATCTGCATCGGAGCTGTTGACCAGCAGCACGTCGGCCCCCGTGGGGGCGTTCTCCATCACCGTGGTGTGGAAGGACGAGGAGGTGAAAACGGGCACGTTGTCGTTCACGTCGTCCACCACAACCGTTACCGTGCCCGTGCCGCTCAGGGACGGAGAACCTGGAGACGGAAGACGAGAAGAAACGCTGAGTGACGACAACAGCAGTGAGCTTTTTCCTGCAGCCAGCACGCTAAAAAGAAGCGAAGCAGAAAGCGCCTGGACGGGCCAGGACAGAAGCAAGTCATTCACATGATACCTTTCCAAACGTACACAATTAGGAATTCCTTTTGCATGCCACGGCGAGCTGGTAAAGGGGGGGGGAGGGAACATGTGAGCGCCATTAAGGCTGAACATTTCTGGCTTTGGACACGCGGAGACTTATAGCACATGACTCGTCATCTGCACATCGAGCGGTTGGTTCTCCTGCGGCGTTAACGGGCGGGAGGAAGTTCTCTGGCCCGCCGGCTCGGGTTTCCATCGACGCGGGGCACATCAGAAGGGCTCAATGTCTCTGAAACCAAATCTCTCAGGCGTCCTTCCTGGGTTCCTCGTAGATTTCATTTCTATTTTAAGGTGCACGCCGCTGAGCGGGTTAGTCTGTGGAATTCGAGTGAGGGAGAGGAGCTATTTTCAGCAACAATCTAACCGTTTTTCTCCCTTGGCTGGTGACAAAACAAGGCTCGCCCGAGGAGGGGAGGGGAGGGGGGGCGGGGGGGGTTAAATCAATAGCAGATGAAAACCACCCGCTGAGCAGAAAGGACTTGAAGAAAAACTAAAAAGATTAGGACGACTGCCTGGCTTATAATCCATCGTTGAAAGGCAGCCTGCACCACCTGGTATATATTCCTCAACACAAACACAAGCTCAGCCGGGGTACTGAGAGTCACAATGTGGGATTTGGGGACAGCTTGGGGGTTATTTTCAGCTCTTATTGATTTGCATATATTTACATTTGTTTATAAGCACCTGCGGATTGAGCGAAGTTGGGATCTTTTCCCACCTCTAACGTGTAGTTGTTCCCTCCAGGAATCCATGTGAACGTGTCAACTATAATACACCCGAGTGAAAACAATCACCATCCCCAGCTTGTGTCCCCTGTGCCTGTGTTCTCAGCTGCTGAAAACATTAGATGCTTGAACTTTATTGGATTAATAAGAGATAAAAAAAATAATAATAAAAAAAATAAAAACATTGGATGGGGGCCACCAAAAATGATCTCCTAATGTGGAAATGTGCAAAAATCTAAACATGAGGAATCTGAGGCAAAAAGCCGAGGGTGTTGAGGGGGTGTTGAGGGTGAGGAGAGAAAGCTGGAGGGACACACCACGGATCTGTAGCTCAGCCAACGCGGATTATCTTTTCAATTTAATAAAATTAGGGCAACACGCTCGTGAGATTTGTTTCAGATTCTTCTCACTGGGAAGTGAGATGGATTATCTTTCCCCCGGCAGCCTCCTGAGACATTTCATGTGGAAAACGACTTATTTCTGTCACACTATCCGTCTCCGAAAAGGAAAGAAACATGAGCATCACCGAGGACCCGTTTCGACTCATTGTCCAGGCGCTAGATGTTAACTCAAGCCATGTGAGCCACCAGAACACTTTGTTTTCAGACAAAAAACCCTTTGATGGATCTCCATGAGCTTTGGTCCAGCTATTCGTGGTCCCCAGCGGATGAATCCGTACTGACTCGATTGTCACTTGATACATTTTCCAAACTAAGGGGTAAGGACATCTAAAGTCTAAAAGGTAAACAGGTATATGTAACATGTATTTGCCGTGTCAAATGAAACGTACAGTTTTCCACTCGACGGAAGCATATAGTGAAATGATTCTGGTTTGGGGTGAAAGAGGAAAGACAGACTTTCTCTCTCACCTCAGTTGTTCTTGTCATCTTAGGATGAAATTTGAATCGAAGTTAGTTCGGGGTGGGGCTCCTCATACAGTTGCTAAATCGAGGCGCACCGAGGCGGAGGGGGGGGGGGAGACGAACGACTACGAACAAGCGTCCTTAGAGCAGAAACGAAATTCCCCCAGAAAGCTCTGCGGCTGCGGCTAAACTGCTGAGACGGGCCTGCGACCTGCGCCGTGGGCAGAGAGGAGAAGGACTCCGCAGCTTCGTTCCCCCCGCGATGAGATTTACTGTAGCGTCCCCTCGCTGCCTGGCTCTGTGATAATAAACAGACGGTGGACCTTGAGCTTGACATGCGTCCAGGTTTTTCTGGTCAGAACAGAAGTGGCTGACGTGGGCTTTTAGGATAAACAGAGCCGAATTCCAGAAGCAAATTAAATAACACAAACAGAAGTACGAGTAAACAAATGGTTCATCCCGAAGGAGGAACAGAAACCGTACGACGGTAATCTTTAGAGATTCGTTAACAAAATGAGTCACGGGCTCTCCAGCTGTAACCAAACATAGACAACGTTATATTTCGATCATGTGTTTCCACCTTGACAAATATTTGTGATGAGAACTCTGCTTATAAACAAAATGCGGCGATTTATACGGGGGGTCAAGTCATCTGGTGTCGAAAGGAAAGAGATTTGGCGGCAGCCGAAACGCAGTCCAAGCTGAATTTTGGCGATCGCGGCGCTGCTACGCAAACAAGCGACCACAACGTGTGGACTAATGCGCCCAGCGGGGTTCCTCCGTCAACTCAGCGCTCCACCGCAGCGGTCTGATCCGCCCGGCGGCATCACGCGTTCGAGTGCGCTCGGTGAGGTTGTCATGGGAACAGATTAGGGAAGCTCTGCCTCCTTTCTCAGCTGATCCTCTTGATTGGCGATGGGACCCGAGTCAGCACGGTGCCCGTATCACTTTAAGCTAACCGGGCAAAGTGCGTTTGACAGTTAGCAGCTCACTCAGGCTGTTGTTGATCAAGGATGTTCTTTAGCGGCTCCAGGAGCTAAATGGCTTTGTGCACAAACAAATAGCTCCTGCTATTGGACGGAGGGAATGAGGAAAACAATTTGTTTTGAGCTTCAAGCCAGCTGCCATGTTTTTCTGGACTCTTCTGTGACACGGGGCGGGCAGTTTTCAAAAGCATTGTTTCCCCACTGAGAGCGGAAGCAGGGCAAGCTACAAGGCTAGCCCTGTGTGTGTGTGTGTGTGTAGCACACTGCCCTCCTTCCAGGCGATTCACTTTTGCACAGGATGTGATGTCACAACCTGTTTACTGCCTCGGGAGAATGAACAACCTCTACCGCATGACCCTTTGACCTGCGTTGCGCCCGTCAGTGAGCGCGGCGGGCCCTCCGAGCCACAGGACACTGTTGCCGGAGTTAATCCCGGGTAAGCGCGGAGCCCCCACCCCTGCAGACACCCCCCTAGGTGAAGGCCCGCATTGGGCTTAAACACCCTCTGAAGCCCCCTGACGTCTGCGCTGCCTGACCCCGAACCCCGCGCTGACCCCCGGCGGCTGTTGTCGGCGGCGCTTCAGACGAGGCATTTCTCCCCTCTTTTCTTGGCGAATCCCTTCTCGCAGCGCCGTGCCTTCTCAGCCTCATGGGGCTCACTGATATCACATGACCCCCTGGCAGCTGTCCTCACCCCCCCCTCCCCATGCACACACAGACACAAAACCCGCTTTCCGATGTGTAAATAGTTCAGATGTATCTCATTACATCGCGTGGGCCAGCAGATTTAGTCATCAAGTTACACGATACCCTGGCAGGTATGCAAATGTATGTTGTTTCAAACATCTGTGGCGAGGGCGACGCATTCTAACGGTTCGCCCCCGATGGCGCCTGCTGCTGCACAAGTAGGTTGTTTCCGATTCCGCCGTCCTCTTCACGGTACCTGAAACGGTAGGAAAAGCAGGAGACTTTTTATGATGTCGAAACTAATCTCTTTTTTTGGGGGGGAGGAGAGGGGCTGACTCAACAGGAGAGGAATGCTCTGCCAGAGCGCGCAGTCAGTGCCAGCGTGCGTCTCCTGCAAACGGCCTTCGGGAAAGCCGAGGGAAGCGCGTCAAGAGTCGACGATTAAGACGCCGGTGCCACGGCTCAAACGGAGTAAAGGGGAGGGGCTGAGATATGGCGAGGAAATATGCCTAAATTTGGTAGCTCACGATTGGGCCCGCTGCTATATGACAAATGACATCATTTTTGCCTTGGAAAGAGAGCCGGTGGAAATTTGCAGCCGGCGGCTGCCACGCACAGTGGTTAGAACAGTACTTTTTTCCATTGGTCCGATCCCGTACCCGGGCCCTCGATTCCTTTTCTTTCTCCAGCAGGTTTGTCGATCGGAGCCGGTCTCATCCGCCACTGACAGTCACCAGACAAAGCCACGCAGCTTCAAGTTCATCCGAAGAAACGAATCGGGAGGTCGGCGAGTTCTGCCGAGAACCGGTGCTCGCATTGCCGTCATACTTATGTGACCGATAAGGCAATCAATGCACCACCTCGCCGCTGTCGGGGAGTCGGTACCGTGAGCATAATCTTATTTCAGAGGTTAATCTTTGGTTACTTAGGACAGCAAACTGGCGCGACGTGACGCCTCTCTCTGGGTGATTACAGGCTCGCTTCATCTGTACTCACCGCATGAACAGCATCGCTCCAAAAGCAAACAGTGCATATTTCACCCAAACTCATCTCGGTTATTATTGCACGCTGGATCCAGAGGAGCATGCTCTCTCAATCAGTAAAGAAAATAAAGGACCTCGTTGTGCCGCATTTTCACGAGGTGGCTTTAGCCCTGCACGCCGCTGCGGATACCACAAAAGGATAAATCCTGGTGATAACCCCCGTCTCCCAATGAGGGCCTTCATGGAAACACAGACAAGTGTTTCTCTTTAAATGCTACGAGCAGCCATTACACTGTGGGATGATGTAGAGGGCCGCCAGCGCCTCCTTTCGCACAAAAGCCCCCTGAATGTGATTCCTCCCCGCTTTAATTAATTGAATCTGAAAACAGCATTACCATTTAATTAAACGCAGCACATTCCCTTCAGGTCTGGGAATGACACGGTTGGGGCAGTGACAACCGAAACAGAGTGTGATATTTCACAATAATCCCGACGGTGCTCGTTAAAACCGTCCGGCGGGAACAAAGCTAATATTTCACCTCTGAATCCGCGTGGATCACTTTTGGGAAAAAAACAAATTGAAGAACCCCCCCCAAAGATAATTGACGAGCTTGCAGGACCCTGAGACTAAAGCAGACCAGCTGACCATCTGTCGCCTCCTCGTGCATCCTGCGGCTCCACAGACAGTTTCCTCTGTAAGCCTCTCAACCCGCAGAGCATCGTGTAAACATATGGCAGCGTCTAAGCACCTTATCAGTGTACGTTACCACCGGACAAATCACATCAACCTCCAACACGGTGCCGTGGCCGTACTCTCTGAACCGGAGGGGGTCCAAACGCACGTGTTAGCCGCGATTAAGCGATCTGTTCTCTGGCCGCTGCAGCTGCTATGGGGGCGAGAGGAGGGGGGGGGGGGGCACCCGCCTCCTGGGAAAGGTCTAAGCTGCGCTAAGGAGCAGGTTTGAGTGTCTCAGCTGACACAAGAGATAATCTCTTTCTCCAACATGTGACTGATTGATGTTTAATGGAACCCCCGAACAAACAACCGGGATGTCCAAAAAAACGGATCTCTCTCTCTCCTCTCAGGGCTGGACAGGTTGACTCAGGGAAGATGGATGAATGTGCAAATTTAGAGACAGCCCTTCTGTAGCCTGAAGCTTAAAGGGCTAAACGGGTAATTACGGTTATGGACTGCGGCTGGATTGTGCTCTTAAGGGACAGCGTAAATAAAACCAATTCTTGGCTTAGAAGAGGGGGTGGGGGGGGGGGGGGGGAGAGTATTGGCTGGCTTCACGGCAAAATTGACATTTTTCTGCCTCTGAGAACCTGTTGCTTTGCAACAAAGCTTCTTTTAATGCGACTCCGTTGGGCACCCATGAATGGCCCCGGCGGAGCGGAGCGCAGGGTGCGGAGCCGTCCCAGTGCACCGTTTGCCAAACAACACAGTCAACACAGGTTTTCTCACACTTAACAAGCAAGAGAGTGAAAGCGATATCTGAGTAGAAAAGCTGCCGGTATAAAGAGGTAAGAATATTTTCTAACAATACGGCAGTCTCGTCATTCGTCACATTAAAGCTAATGGTATGCTGCTTCTCGGTTTTATTTATGGGGTGCGGCGTCCGACTGGTTTTTGCATAATTTCTTGGCCATATGTCGCGTATAGGGTTTGGCGGTTAGCGGGCGAGTGAAGCATATCGACGAGAACACGAGTGCTGCTTTTTCCTCATATTTTAAGGCCTGTGGTGAGATTTTATGAAGTGATGCGCCTTTTGTGTTTTCTGTTTTTTTTTTAACAATGTTGCTTTTATTTGCCGTGTCGTTAAATTATTTGGAAATCCAAATCAAGCGGTGCATCTGTGAACATTCTGGCCTGTTCTACGGCACCAAAGCAACAGCAGCGGATCATAACGTGCGAGTGAAGGACACACTGGAAGCGTGACTCCCCCATAACAGCCCTCTATAATGTTCGTGCCTTGGCCACATGAATGAGATATGATATTGGAAAAAGTGCTAAGGGGAGAGAAATATTCACACACAGTATAATATTGTACTGCTGTTCGTTAAAAACAGAAAAGCAACAACTTCAATGAATCTGGTAAAAATCTGCTTTGCGAGAACCGCGAACCAGATTCCCCAGAGAAACGCTGCAAATAAACATCATTAAAGAAAGTGCATTTTGCCAAACCCTTCATCCGACGCACACCAGCCCCCATTACTTACCAAAGCCATTTACACAAACACTCAGACGGAGCTATTGTTAAAGTGCACAAGTGAGTGGAAAAGAGAAATGGGGCCATTGGAAATAACCCTGCATGTTGTTGCCCTGCAGTTTTTTAAAGAGCTAATGCAGAATGTTACTGCTGTGTTAAAGTTCACTTGAGGAACCCGATATTTTATTTGGCTAAGCATTGTTTTGCCACTAGACTGTAGACTGGCTGAAGCCTTCAGGAATGGATTCAGGATTCTTTTTGGGGCAAGTGATGGACATCGAGCAACGCCGCCCACGTTTTTGGATCCGCGTCCTGCGGTGTGCGTGCAGACGAAAAGCGTCCCGAGCACGCTCTCTCTCTCCGCCGCACGCAGACTCGCAACAAGTCACACCAAGTCAGAGGGAAAAGACACAAATCCACGAGGTCTCACATGTTGAACAACAAACAACGAGAAATGAAATAATAAAACCCAGATGACATCAGTTCAAAGTAACCCATGAATGGGATAGATGATTGTCCATACAACAAAAACACAACAATAACAGAGCTACTTGACTGGAGAGAAGCTTTTCCTTCCCTCCTCAATAACTTTGCACTCAAGATAAACCCTCCTGCTTTCCAAGGTTCCTGCATGGCACACACCGACACACAGCTGCTCTTCATGATCCTTACATTCATGAGCACTGAAAATAGGTGAATTGTTCGGAGAATGGAAAGAATGCAATCAAATTGGTCGGTTGTTAAAAAAAGGTTATTCGGCTGCCCAGCTGCCAGACAGAAATACGTTTTCTTTAGCCACTTAAAGCTATTACATAAAAACTAAGGGGCAAAAGCATGTCACTGTTGGAAATCCTATTTTTTCAAATCCTTCCAAAGGGGGTCATAACTTGCCTGTTGCTGGGCAGTGGCCTATCAATCTGCAGCTTGCAGCCTGCAGCTGACTGCAGATGTTGGGAGATCACCTTCTTACCCTGCAGCCGCCGACGTCTCCGTCTATCTGCACAACTAGTTAACTCAGAAACAACTTTCCGTAAACAAGGGAGAGAGAGAATCCTCGAGTTTCCTCTCAACAGGACGCCTTGTAAAACACCTCCATGCAGCTTGAGCGGATGCCACATTTTCGAGGTGCTGCACACAGATTTTTCAGATAATGGCCGACGTTTGCCAAATTCTGCCGCCTTCCCGAGCCAGAAGCCATTATTGGAATCGGCACCCGGAGAGCTCTTTTCTTTCCGTCCACTTCCTGACAGGCTTCGGGGCCGGCGCAGCAGGCGCACAGCGACGTGACGCGACCTGGGGCGACCTGGGGCGCCGCCCGGGGGCTGCGATTAATCATTTTATCCCACACTGAAGTGACTGAAAAGGTCCCCCGGGGAAAGACGGCCCTCAATGCAACAACACACAGGCGCACACCAACGGGTGGAAGTCAGGCGACTCACTCGCAGAACCGAACCGGAGCCTCCTTCTCTTCGCTGTTCTGCGTTGTGGAGTCGGACTAGTAAAGATAAAGGCAGACGCTAAAGTGGCACGATGAATGTCTGTGGTTGAAATCGGGTCACGGGAGACGGCAGAATTGGAGACATGTCTGCACCATCCACCTTGGACGTTTCCTGGCCCGTAGCGCCTGGGAGAACCATTTCCCCCCTCGCTGTCTAAGCCGAGGCCTCAAAAATGTGAGAAAATGCTGCTGGGTAATTTGGCCGCTACCATGATTATGGGTTTTTTTTATATTTTGATATTCTACCCCGAGTCGCTCTTTTTGTTTTTTTTGCCTTCTCACCAACATCGCAATGAAACGTCCTGTCATAATATTTTGGAATTGTTGTCAGGGTTCTAAATACGTCCTCCTTGTGAGGCGCACAACGAAGGGATCGAATCCTAATGAGTATGTTCGCTTCTCGGGCAACTTTGTCCATGTGGCACAAACCTCTGGAGAGCACGTGAAGAAAATCACGACGAGGGAACAAATAACCTTCTTTAGTAACCGGAGACGTCTGAATATCTCAAGCGAGGCGGTAACACACGTAGCGACCCATTGGACACACGCAACACGCGCTCAAGTCTCACTGAATCCCGTTCCGTCAAAAATACACGGCGTCATGGCGGGTCACATGGTCAGTCCAGGAATGACACAGAACCGCCGTGACGGCCGTGCCAGAGCGGCTCGGGGAGGGGGGGGGGGGCAACGTATACTTAGCTGGGATACCATGTGATTTGGCCGCGACGGGGATACGCATGTTCTCCTTTAGACTGCACATTAACCGGCCTCTATGCAATAACAAGTCAACCTTTTATCTGGCTATAACAAGCTCTACCACCGTATCCAAATAAACAGAGGATGCTGTTCAATTGTGCCCGCTGAAAGGACTTCTGGTGGATACGTCCAAAAAACACCCGCTATTTTGCAAGCTAAAAACTCCCAATTGTTTAGTTTATGGTACCACAACAAAACAGAAAAAGAGCTTTGCGCACACTGTGAACCCAAAATGCTGTTTGTTGACACTGGTGTTAGTTTATAGAAAAGATCCTTTTCAGCTCGTTTTTTTTAAACCGGCCGATTACAAAATGAATTTTGGCAAAGCCAGAAACGGAGCGAAAGGTGACGCGTTCAAACCCTCCCGCCGCGGCCTCACCTGAGTCGGTGGCTGTGATCAGCAGGACGTATTTCGCCTGGGCCTCGCGGTCCAGGGTCCGGGTCACGCTCAGCTGACCGCTGGACGACAGGCTGAAGGCGCCGTTGTCGTTCTCGCCGCTCAGCATGTAGCTCAGCTGGCCGTTGGCGCCTTGGTCGTCGTCTCTGGCGACGACCTGGGAAACACAGAAACAAGCCTCTTCAGGGACTCTGAGTATCAAACTACTCCTTGTCCAAGAAACGTGTTTTGCATTTTCCAGCTGCCGAGCTGCAGGTTGTCTGGAATATAAACAGTTAGAAGCAGCTTTACCAGCGTGGCAGCAGTGGTGGAAAGTAACACGGAAGAGACGTAAGCGCCGTTTAGACTCTGTAATTGAATATTAAGCAAAAGACGGTGAGTCACAACTCGTCTTCTTATGTATTAACAGTTGAATTTACGACCAATAAATACAACAGCATTACGTGGCCCAGTCGGACATTTTTGGTCATTCCCATTCCTCTTTTGCTACCCTTTTGTGGTAAAAATAAATACCATCCATAGTCTTGCTTTAAGTAAAGAACTTCAAAACCATGTTTAAAGTCCCAGTGAGACGGAAGCGTGAGGAACTTGTGTACTGTGATAGATTCTAATGTTAAGCGCCATATTCACCTAACTCCAAAATTGCACACTTTCAGTTTTCTGGCAGTTTTCACCACCGGGTGCGTTTTCTTCTGATAAATATGTGGCTCAATTTAAAGAAGCGACTTGAGCTGGCAGTGACGCAGCTGAAGGTTAATCAGCATCACGGTGCCGGGCGGCACTGTGAAGGTAATTGTTGAGGGAAGGAAGATCATTACTTTATTCACTTTGTCTAATCAGACGTTCCCAGGGAACCCAAAAAAAAACTTTGCTTTTCATTCCACCACACAACTGTACCCTCATTTCCTGACAAGGTACACAAGCGTAAAAGAAAATGCAACTGCGCCATCACTGGAAATCAGTCCGACCCTTCCATTTTTTATACACGGCTCATTTAGTCATCAGGGTGGTTGAGACGTTAACTGACCTCTCATGCAATTCAGCCCTGTTTCATATTTTGGCAAAATCCTATAAAACCCTAATTGTGCAAATTGCCGCCATATATCATTTGTATATCGTTTTAGTGTATGCATTCTTCACGGCATTCAGCAAAAAGAGTGGTTCAGTGCACCGATACGACTCACATACCTGCACTTATTAAGTTAGTATTACTGCAAATGTGGTTAAGGCATTAGCTTGTTGAAGTTCTTTGAACTGTCATTCAAAACACTGCCTTCTTTTCCCTCAGGAAGTCCTGTCTGTAAAAGTCAATGGCGTCCTAAAGGCAAAGAAAATCCTCCCAGAAAAGGTAAAAACAAATATACTGACCTGCAGAATGTTTTTTGGAAGATTCTCAAAGTTCTCCTGAACATTGACGGTGTACGGAGAGAGCTCAAACTCAGGTGAGCAGTCATTCATGTCCAACAGCACGATGTTTACGGTGGCTCGGTCCACCTTGGGGCTGCTGCCTCGGTCGGCGGCCTGGACCACCAGCGAGTAGGACCCACGCGCCTCGCGGTCCAGCTGCTTGGCCACCGAAATCACCCCCGTGACCGAATCGATTCGGAAGTCAGAGTTGGCGTTGCCCCCCGAGATGGAGAACCGGACCTGCCCGTTGGTGCCCTCGTCCGCGTCGCTGGCGAACACCTGGATGACGTCGGTCCCGGTCAAGGTGTCCTCCTCGATCTCGATGTCGTAGATGTTCTGCGAGAAGCTCGGCGTGTTGTCGTTGACGTCCAGGACCACCATGGTCACGTCCATCATCGAGGACAGGTGGGGTTCGCCTTTATCGGTAGCTACAACGGTGAGGGTGTAGTTGGACAGCTCCTCGCGGTCCAGTTCCCCAACCAACCTGACGTCTCCGTCGATGGTGCCGATGCTGAACTTGTTGACGAAAGGTCCTTTGAGGGAGTACTCGACATAGCTGTTGGGTCCACTGTCGGCGTCTGCGGCCTGGGCGGTGAACACCACCGTGTCCACCGGCGTGTTCTCCTGGATGTAGGTCATCCGCTGAGAGGTGAAGGTCGGCGGACAGTCGTTGACATCCAGAAGGATGATGGACACCTGGGCGGTGCTGGTGAAGCGCGTCGCGGGAGGAGGAGCCAGGTCGTTGACCGTGATCACCAGGTTGTAGAAGGACTGGATCTCCCTGTCCAAGGCCTTCTTGGTTTGGAGGACTCCGTCCTTGCTGATGACAAAGTGTCCCTGGGAATCTCCGGACGCAATTCTGTAGAGGAGCTGGGCATTCGGGCCTGGAACACATAAGAAGATGGAATCAGAAGATAAGGTTGATTATTTTTACTACAGCGCCGTGTTGGTAAGCTCCATCTTCAGCACCCAACTCTTCTTAATAAATGTTTTGTTCAAGAAAATGCCGAATGTCCAAACTATGCCATTTTTCATTTTTTATTCGCTCTAACGCTTGACAAAGAAAAGCTTAAAATCATCACATTGGATTAATCTGGCAAAGGTTCAGCGCAGTTGCTTAAAAAAGTGACTTAAGCGATTTCATTATTGCAAGATAAAGACGCTACTAAAAGAACGTCAACTAAGACTACTGAGTGAAACTTTAAATTACATTTGTATTTTATTCCCAAGGTTACATGTGTTACTTTCCTCCAGTGGATAACAGACAAAACCTGGAACCAAAATGTAATTTGGGCAAACTGGAGGAATCTGCTATTGGGGGAGGAATTAAGTAGGAGGCTACTTATTAGGCCCCCCCTCTCCGTACTAATCAGGCTGAGCGTTTGGGTTCATTTTTAACAAAAATAACTTGTCCAGTGGGCCTCACGCTGCCAAATGGAAATAAATCTAACCAGGAACCATTTAGTGTGACCCTGAATTAAAAGAATGGCCAGATAGCAAACAGTCAGGACCCTGCGGTAGAGGTCGAATGTTGATATTTTCGTCTCGCGTGCATTGTTCAGGGTTGCGTCTCGGCCGCACGCCTTATCTCTATCCACTTCCACACATTGTGCACGCGCGGCCGCTGGAGCTCCGGCCGCTACCTCTCGAGTAGACGATCCACTCGTGAACTGCAGCACCAACGGCCGCTATCGAAAGGCAAAAGACTTCCTAAACGGATGCCCGGAGGTTGTGTTGCATTTGGGAAAAACCCGTCGCGAAAGAAAGATTCATTCAAAGTGTCGAAGGGTGTTGTGAACCATCTATCCTTGAAACCTCGGCCTGATCCGCAGCGCTGGCTGGAGTGCCGGGGTGGAGAGGGTGGGGGGGGGGGTTGAAATGAGCTTAAATTGAGCGTCTGTAATTCAAGTCAACGGGGTATTCGTGTGGAAAGCGCCGGGCTCCTTCCCACACTCAGCCATGTGTTTACAGTACACAAGTAATCCCTTATCAAAAGCTTGAGTGCCACTTCCACCCGAGTTCAGACGGAGTCGGGGGGGTCGGAGGGCGGGGTCGGAGGAACTGCTAACAATGGCGGCGTTTTATTTTGACAGCGAAGGGCAGCGGCTGTGTATCTGGCCGTGTTTCATCGGGGCGCTCATGCAAGACGCAGAATAAAAAGGGAGGCTGGAGAGCTTCTGTGTAACCAACTGTCATAACGAAATGTCAGGCCTGCATTAAATTAATCTGCTTTGGGCAAACTAACATTTTACATTACATAACTGCTTTAAACATAATGACATGTCTGGGATACCTGACCACAGTTTGGAAATATTATCTCCTGAAATATTTTCCTTGCAGTAAATCAACCTATCCGGAATTGGAAGTGTGGCCAAATCTTTCTAAATATGTGAAAGAAAAATATTCCTCATTGTTCTCTTGAGATTGTAAATCACGAAGGAAATACATATGGAAATGAGTATGTCAAATCAGTGCCAACAGAAATGTTGATCATGTCAGACAATTGTGATGTTTAATGATTGCTAAACTGTACAATCCATTAGCAGAAGATTAATAATAGATTAAGTAGGTCCTTTGCCAATAAAATGTTTAAATGGATGCATCTTTTGAAGACTGATCAACCTATTGTTTTATCACATATGTCTAGTGACAAATGTTTTACTGAGTTATTAATCGTTTTACATGTTCAAGTTTTGTGGATTGAAACCAATACACACTCATATTCGTTAATTAATGAACGGCTGCTGCTCCTCCCACATCCTTTCCCGTCGGACGTACCGTCGTCGGCGTCTGCGGCCCCGACGGTGAGCACGCCGGATCCGGGCGGCAGGCTCTCGGACACCGACGCGCTGTACGCCGTGGCGTTGAAGACGGGCGGGTTGTCGTTCACGTCCAGCACGTTGAAGTAGACCCTGACGCCGCTGGCCTGGCCCCCGCCGTCCCGCGCCTTGGCCGTGAGGATGTAGTACCGCTGGGTCTCGTAGTCCAGAGGGCGCGTCACGTTGAAGACGCCCGTCACCGGGTTGAGCAGGAAGGCCTCGTCCTCGTCCTCCTCGTCCTCCAGCGAGTAGGTGACCTCGCCGTTCGCCCCCGAGTCGGAGTCGCTGGCCAGGATCGCCGCCACGATGGAGCCTGCGAGAGACGGGCGGGTCGTGACACGGAGGCGAGAAGTTAAGACTACATCAATAACAACATGACTTTAATACATTTTTCTTAAGCCTGTTTATTGATATTAACCGCTGCCAGCTTCGCTCTGTTAACTCCCGGCCTGAACAGACGCCAATGGCTGCTACTGATGACCACCAGGGGAAAACAACGGCACGGCCGGTTTTTACTGGCGTTTACTTAATCACATCTTGATTACGTCATCGTCCCTGTGATTGCAGCGGTGGGAGGGAGAGAGGCGCCGTGGCAGGCAGCTGTCAGTGTTATTGTAAATCCTGCCGGTCGCTGACAGATTTCTATATGAATCAAATATCAGTTACTGGGCCTTTGACCTCTCGTTTTAATTTCTCCCTAAAGGAGGACGCGGAGGATTTGGGGGAGCTGTAACGCTCAATTTGAAAGTTTTCCTACGAAAACGCCGCTCGTGACAATTTGAGATCTGGATGAGCCCAACAGTAACCCTAAGTAAGACGTCTCCAACGTCTATGAACGATCGGACGCTTCGCTGGGCGCCGCCGAGCCCTCACCCGGCGCCATGTCCTCGGGGATGTCGAAGGAGTACGCGACCCGGGAGAACTCGGGCGTGTGGTCGTTGACGTCCTTCACGGTGATGTTCAGCCGCATGTCGGACGACTGCTTCCCGTCGTCGGCGCGCACCAGAAGGGAATATTTGGAGCGGCGCTCCCGGTCCAGCTTCTTGGTGGCGATCAGATCGCCGGACTCGGGGTCGATGCGAAAGCTGTCGTCCGCCCCGCTGACGATGGTGTACGTGACGAGAGCGTTGGGACCCTGGAGAGAAGCCGGAAGACGGGATATTATTAAGTTTGCTTCTACGGGAAAACGAAGTCACTTTGCATAATCAGCGGGTTTTCGTCACATAATCACAAACTGTCCTGAAACATCGTTCCAACAAAAAAAAGGGTTCAATAGGTGAGACGCACTTTGCTGACCTTGGGCGCTCACGAGCATCAAAGCAGCTGTCACCCGGTAGGAAATGAGTTTACGCCCCGTGTTAGCGTGTCACGTGTGCACATCAAACAAATGAAGGCCTTCTTCACAGAGACGCTCCACGCCGGAGTCACAAATGAAGACGGAGAGATCAGCTGACCCGCACACAGGAGGCTACGTGCTCCAGGAATGGATCTCACTGGGGAAATACTAATCTATTATGTGTATTATTAAGCCCTAAAAGTATTTTTTTTCCACTAAATAAAGTAGAAGATAGTATTCTCACATTTAGTATTCAAATCATAAAATGTGTTCTTATATTTAGTTATTTAGTTTAATTATTTTCTTAACTTATCTTCAAGGAAATATATTAATTCAATTTAAGCAGCCGAAGCTTACTTATACTAATTGATAATCCCTTTACAATGCGTTTACAATGTGTAATGTAGTAGAAATATGGGGATTATAATACACTAAGATCTTTGAAAAATCATCAGCAAGAAGCGGCGGTTTCTGCTAAATTGATACCAGGCGGCTGCCGGTTGGGAATTAATTGTAAGGGACAAAGGTTGAAAGTAAAGTCACTTTTAACTTTTATGTTTTGAGAAAATCTGAGTTTCGCCAATCAGTAATCGGTGAAATACTAAATACTTTTATTTCAACAGTACAGCAACTATAAACTCTTTTTACATATTTAATCACTAAATACATTCTACAATGTACCATTCATGAAGCTCAGAAAGAGGATGGCAGGCCATACCCAGGGAAGAGGAACAGAACTTCATGTTCCGGCGGGACTCGCTCTTTGAACTTTTGGGGGCTCTAGTGTTCCTCTATAAATGCATCTCATAGATCACCTGTTACCTCGGACGAGGACAAGCGGCGTGACACATGGCTGTGGAATAGGAGAGGACGCCACGTGACGACTGAATGGGCCCCGGCGACGGAGCTTGACATTCGTGTTTGTGCCGGGGACAATCAGGGATCAGACAACTGTCTCACTACGCGTCCTCCGCCAAAAAAAGAAGAAGCGACATCAAAAAGCTACTGCTATTCAGCGAGACGGAGCTCTGGTTACAACTGAGCTAAAACGTCGGTGTGCCGCTTTTTGATCCTGCCAGAACAATGCAGGGCTTCCACACAGAGAAGCGCTGCATGATTTGCACGTCCACACATGCACTTAACGCTGGACAATGGTGCTCACACAACAAACTGCATTTGTCTGCATGCAGTAGTGTCGTCTTGTCGCCTAAATAAATAAAATAAAATAAATGCCGGAGATGTGCAGCTCTCCGGCATTTATTTGCTGAGCCGTCTTCTGTGTGTTATTTAAGGACTCCTCTCACTGTCTTAGCGTCTTCTGCCCTGTGAAGCAAGAAAGGTTCACAATGAAAACGTGTCTCTCTCTGCTTCTCGTGGTGCAATATTCTTATATGATTGATTTACAACAAGGTTTTTTTCTTTTTTTTTTAAAGGACCGCAATGTGTGAAAAGGAAAAATAATAATTTATGGCAACAGGCATTGCAGTTTCATATCATTTCTGGAACGGAGGAGAAAAATAATAAATTCTGTCGGTCACGGAGTGGATTTAAACGACTTTCCCTTCTATGTTTAACAGACTTTCTGCATAAAGCAACAAGGCCAGACACGGCGGTCGTTGGCCAAATGCTTCGGAGGGGACTCAATATCGAAAGGCCAAGTTCAGGACCGGCTCTTATCTCTCTCTTTTTACGACGGATTAAACCTCAGTCTCCTCGACCCCGTCCCTCATTGCATTACCAGAGACCCGGTCTCAGGACCAGGTCCAGTAATAAAAAAAAGTAATAACAGAGGGGTCGATCAGGAGGAACGTAGCGAGGCCGCGCTCATCTAACTACCCTGCTGTCATCAATCAGTGGCTCCAGATCTGGCAATCCCATCAGCCACCTGGGCTGCAGGCAGGAACCCAACACCCGCGGTTTTGCCAATTAATTTTCTGATAGGGTTCAAAGGCAGAGCGAGGGAGGTGGGAGGGGCCGAGCAGGGGGTCCATCTAGACCCAACACACACACACACACACACTCTCTCTCTGCCTCGCTTTGCTAAACTAACATAGTAATTAAGATCCTTCACACACTCAAACACCTACGTACCGAGTGGTTGCCCTCTTGACCTTCACTTAAGGTTGACTACTTTACAGCTTGGGTTGTTTGGAGGGTGGGGGCAGAAGGAAACTCATTTAGCACATGAGTGGTTTATGGGAGCGAGCCGCTGGTTTCGAGAAGGGAGAGGTGCGAAGCGGGGATGGCGAGGCTTCCTGTATGCGACAGCGGCGAGCGCGCAGGCCAATAACAACACTGGCTCCTGAGAAACAAGCGACATGCCGCGACCGACGGCTCCAACGGGAAGTCCGCGGGAGGGAGGAGGCGCAGCGAGCGGCTGCACCACGCAGTCACGCCTGCGGAGAGAGCGTCTTGAGATATACTTCCAGTGCGCACGTGGAACACATTGCCAAGTCATTTTGGGGGCGACACTCTCCTACAAAAGCCATCGATGCACTTTTTTCATTAAAGTTGGGTTTTTTTTTTTCTTTACCTGTGACATAGTTTCCACATACGGTCAGAATTCTAATAAAACATTCAAAGTTCTGTTCTTCCAAATGAGGTGAGAAACATTTAGCAGAAAAAGGCCTCGCCGGCATGCTACAAAAGAGCTTTAACTTTTATATTGACATCCTTCTCTTTTGGGGCTGGAAACGGACGTATGGCGAAAACCGGATGCCGAGAAACAGCATTTTAATACCCTCGCACACGAATCCCACATGCAGCACCGTTAAATTGGAAGGGATCATTACGATGTCTGAATTCATCCCGTCAGCTGGCCAACAGCTTGCTCTCTTGGCTCCTCCGCCGTGGCTCACACATGTGGCTTTCTCGACGAGGAGCTGCAGAGCGCTCCGTACGCTCGGTGTCGGCGCAACTTAAGTTTCCTGCGTAAGGATGTGGGCAAAGACTTGGCCGGGCCTCGTATCTGGCTCCGAGCGAGAGCTGGAATGAAGTACAGGCTTCTATTTAGCGAACCTATTCATGGCAGCACTGCAGTTTGGAGTAAACATCTCCAGAATCTGTAATTCCAAGAAGAGGCTACTCCGCATTCTCTTTAAGTGTCTGCGTTTCAATCCAGGAAGCACAGCGTCGCTCCACCACCAGTTCTTTTTTGAGGACGACTTATATTCATACCGGTGCGTGCAAGAGTGGACGCTTGATTTGCAAAATAGAACTTAATAGTTTTGTCTCGCGGCACGCGAGGAAAAAAGTGAACAACTGCCGGCTTTAATTTCAATTTCACACGAGTTCACATGAGATCAACGCTGTGAATGCTTTGGCACAAATGTGTCCTTGAAAAAACCCTAAAAAAGTTGACGAGCCTTCAGGAGTGAGATTTACAATGAATATAGTATTCCAGAACAAAGGGAAATGGCCAGAATTTAGACTTTATACAACTTTCCTCACAATCGGAGCGAAGGGGCGACAGCTGTGCAATAAAGATGCGTGTTCTCAGATGTTAACATGAAATCTATTACATCTTAAGTCTATATTCTTCCTCTCTAATCTCCCTCGCCTCAATGACCCGACTTTTCCGTTCCCTCTAGCTGTATCCCTTGGCTGCGGGTGAGGTGACCACAGACCTCGGAGATGCCTACAGAGCCCCGCGTTTCTCTCACAGCGGGATCTCGTGTCCACATCCTGCCCAGAGCCGCCAGAGATGGAGCCTTTAGCTAATTGAGAGTGATCCCGGTGGCCGCGGAGGGGCTATCAAAGCGGCAGGACCCCAAAAAGATCAATGGCTGTCCGTTCTCCTCCAGGCTCTGTGACACCGGTGGCCTCGGCGCGTCTCAGATAACGTCAACATGAGACTGACAGACAGTTATGTGTGTGTGTGTGTGTGTGTGGTTCATTGATTCAAAGTGGTGGTCTTGTGTGTTTGTGTTGCTGTGTGAGGATGAAAGGAGACAAAATCTCTCTGGCTGTGTAAACGTGTCAATTAATGCCACTTTTTCGCTAATCTAATAAAATATTGTTTTTTTTTTCGATTAATATCTAGTCTGCAAATGCACTTGGGTGAAGTTGTTCAATGTGGAGAAGGAATCAACATGAATCTATTACACGTTATCCTTATTATAAATAAAATATAATATAAAATCACACTTCACCAGGGGTTTGAAATTGGAAAGTTTTCAGACAACAATTCCTTTCGTGATCTTGATGTTGTTTCAATGGATTTTCTGCCCTGGGTCTCTGCAGATTTCGCTTTTGGCATGAAAACCATCCAACTTAAAGATAATAAAAGTCAGACTTTATTCCATTATTGACAGCTAGGTTGGCCTCCAAATCCCATTTGAATATATACAGGTTAATACGCTGTAGAAAACAAAATTGAGAGCTTATTTTCAGTTTAAATCACTCTATTTGGAAGGCAGTGGAGTGGAAAAAGGGAAAAGAAAGGAGCAAAAAACGCTGTCAGACAGAATAGAACCTGGGAGAGCCATTACCTTGTCTGCATCCGCGGCTGTTAGCTGCATTATTTTGAAGCCATCTCCGACGTTCTCCTCAATGGTCACATCCAGAATATCATTAGGGAAAACCGGCGGGTTGTCGTTGACGTCCTGCAGCGTGATCTCCACCTGCAGAGGAAGAATAAACACAAAAGCTTCGGTTAAAGCGCTGCCTGCTAAGGCCGTTAAGAAAAAGAAGAAACCTGTGCATCTTCTTGGATTTCAGATGATGAAGAAGCTGTACAAGAAGGGAGGCTGGAGAGGAAAGAGCCTTGAAATGATGAGGTGTGGTAAGTTGACTTGAAAGGTCAAAAACTAGTAGAACAGTTTTCCCTTTAGCAGCAGAGTATTTTGAAATTGTATATCATTGAAACACCAAAACCGTGGTTGAGTTTGTAATACTACATGAACTCAAGTAGGAGCTACTCTAATTGTAATTATAATGTGAAAAAAAGAAGATATAAATATGGTACTTAAATGTACTTAAACAGTTTCCAGACCGGGCCAGCGAAAGCTAACATTACCATGACCCGGACACTCGTAACTTAACGCCGTTTCCGGACTTTTGTCGACCGCTTGGAAAACGGTAATTTTTATTCGTACATGTCAATGAATCTACGTGTCAAATCTCACAAATACATATAATGATTTACATGTCTAGCTACTGCAAGAAAGTTACTTTGATGAGAGAAAGTAAGACTCGGTCGGGCGACGGTCGGGCAATGCTGGGGAGATGATGTAAGCGCTTTTATTGCCCTTTTTAGAGGTGTTGAAGCGGGATATCTTATTGTGAAAAGTTAGAATTGGGTTCCAGCATTTGTTGACATCATTGATGGTCATTTTGGCAACCAATATACCCTTTAACCAATATTTAATCTCTGCGAAAAACAAATGTTTACAACGGCGATGGGCGTCTGGCCGGGTCGTCTGGGTATACCAGTGCACGGCTAATTCACCGACGTTAGCATCCTTTTACCGACACTGGTTAAGAAAGTTTTTACTTTTATGATTAAAACAGTATTTGGCTTTAAAGCTAAAGCGCTAACGCTTATTATGGATAGTTGGCTAAAAACTGTCTGGGTCAGGAATCCATTTTGTTAGTTTAGCCTTGAGTGGCAGTAATAATTAAACACCTGCTAGTTAAGGATAACTCGTTAGGCAGCGTTAGCTGAACCTATTTTTCATTGTTGCAACTTAACACAAATTGGCTATTTAAGACCTGTTTGTGACCTAGGTGTTTGAAGTAATTGAATATAAAGTGTGTGTTATACCAAATAAACAAATCAGCAAGTAAATTTAATCAAAATGGAGGAAAAAGTAACATCAGACAAGCCTAGCTTAGCTTAGCGGAGTAGCAGACCCTTACATCTCTGCCTGAACACCTGTGACTATGTGATACAAGTTGTAAAATATTGATTAATCACATTTCTTCACATGTTTGTGATGAAGCCGAATGCATTCAACCAACTCTTTAGAGAAGAAAGCTGAAGAACAAACCAGAAAATGTGTTCGCTGAAAGGCAACCGCAGTGTTAGCACTGCTCCAGATACAGTACCCCACACGTGTTCAACTCTAATAAACTAATATACCAAGAGAGGTGTATAGTGGGTAGAACTCATACACTGTGTCACTGGAGATCACGGAAATTGTGCAATTTACAAAATGACTAGAAGCTAATTTCCGCAGAGACGTACAGTGAGTGTAACAGTAGAGCAAACTAACTGCAGCTCTGGGATTCTCACTTTCATGTCTCAGAAACCAAAATAAACACAGATTACTGTCGACCACAGACCGCCATGAGGACAGACTTTGTCCCATACGATGAGACTCGTGCTGGTAACCTAAACGCATTACAGACGCAGCAGTGGAAAAGAGTGAAAGGGGAATTTCAATTCTATCAAAAGCGGCATATAACTTTTTAACGTTTTACAAGAAAATATAACGCAGCCCAGCGTAAGGACGCCGAACGGGTCATCCTGTTTTGTAGTTAAAATAATACACATCCAAAAGTATGCAGACAGCTCTTTCTGTTTTCGTTTACGTGTATTTGGGTAGGTCCCTTTAATAACGGGAAATGTTTTTGCTCCAGCGTGAAATATTTCAGACAATAATGTGTCATTTCCGGTTTGAAACAAGACAATGCCCCGAATGCCACAAAGCCAGGTCGTTGGGGAAATGAGGCCTTTAATCCCACCTCCCTCCATTCAACATGCGGCCGATGCTTGCACCCGTAGCGGGACGGGGAGGCGGCGGCTGAGCTCGGCTGTGCAAACGTCGGTGGGGAAAGTGGAAACCTCGGAGGCGGTGGGAGTGATGCTCCGTGTCTAGTGTGACGATATTACGTTTCCACTCGTATCCCACAACTCAAATTGCGATCTCCTCCGCCTCCTCGTCCGCTAACCCAAATATGCATTTCAAAGCCGGTAAACACGGCTCGCTTTTTTTAATCATAACAGACATTTTGCTGCACGTTCTCGGTTTATTGACTCTATAAATATGGAAAAGCCCTGTTTAAATTATCCAGTGATAGGATCTCCATTAATGTTGACAGTGATTATGGTAAGTCTTGCGCCAGGCGTCACAAGATGCTCCAACCTCTCTTTTCCGCACCCCCACCCAACTGACACACACACACCTACACAGATGGAGCTACGTGTCAGTGAGATGAAATAGGAAATGGGAAAAGAACAGTTGTCAAAAGTCTACAATGAGTGCAGCTTTTTCAGGCAACAAGAGTTTCCCAGCAGGCGTTTATGGAGAGGACAATAGCCCTCAAGGCCGTAAGACCACCGAGGTGGTGTGTGTGTGTGTGGGGGGGATACAACAGCCTATTCAAACCTGGCTATTGACAGGAAAAGCATACATCACAAATGCCAGAAATCTACAGCTGAACAGTAGCAGGAAACTAGCTGCCACAGACTCCTTTTGTAAAGAAACAACAAAGAGAAGTTGAGTTCATTAGAGATGACCCAGAACAAAAAGCTCGAGGGAGCCGAAATGGTGTCACAGTGTGGCTGAATAAAACATGCTGTTTACCGCCGTGACGACACCGACCGCAGCCCGGGAAAAAAAATCTGCGCGCGTAAGGTCACAATTAAAAGCCGTCACTTACTCCTCTGAGTGGCCTGTGCCAGGACGGGGACGTTGTCCACTTATTAAACCCACTCTGACTCTGGTGTGCGCATGAGTGGAGATAATTACCGGAGAACAAGACGCATTATGTCGCGGGCAGCAGCGATGCAAAAGTAGCGCGCAAACGAGCCGCCAGTCGACGGCGGCTCTCGAGTCGACTTGCGCCCGAGCCCAGGGACCGGGGGCAAAGTCAACAAACAATGAATATTTATCTGGCGCCCTGTGTGTCCCCCTTGATGTGTAAATAATGCAAGGCCCACTTCAGAGGAGAGAACTAATTAGGGTAGAAGTGCAGTTTTGAGAAATAATTACGCTTCCCGTTTGCATTATTACCCAGGCTCCCGCGGGTCGGGAAGATATCAAAGAGCTCGGCGCCAAAATATAACGGAGCAGAGGAAGAAGAAGCAAGGTCACGTGGGGGGGAGGGCGGGGAGGGGGTGGGGTGAGAGAGGTTTGGTTCCCTCTGCCTTTGGACCCGGGCGTCCCAGCGGAGGCAGGTGAAACACATTAGTTTACGAGGCAAAAGATTGTGTTTCATGAACTACTGTTTCAAGTTGCATGTGCGGCCAACCGGCTGCCACAGTTGTATTATTTATGGGGAGGTATGAATGATTCACGCGTCAAGTAGTTCCTGGGGGCTGTCGATTATGGGACCTTAAGCGATGGAAGGTATTTGTCCAAGAGGTCGGAGAACGGAGCTCCGACTCCGCCGCGATAAATGAATCTCGCCGCAAGAGCTTAATGATGAACGCAGGACTGACAGGTGGGATGATTTAGTTGTCTGATGTAATGTAATCTAGTCTCTTTTCCCCCAAATTTGAATTTAAAACCAGTTCAGCCACATTTATATAACATCTAGCCATGCAGCTTGGTTTTTATGTGCCGACATTTTGAGATATCTGCAATTTCCGCAGTGACCCAAATTCAAAAAGGGGGAATTCTTGTTCTGCTAAAGCATGGGAAAAATTAAACAGAAACTTTTCAGTAAAAAGTGAGACCATTATCATTAATATTGAGCTCAGAGAAACTTGCAGTCCATTTGAGAACTGTTGATGGAGAGGTCTGTGGATTGTGACCAAAAAACATTGATTCTGGAAAAACATGCTGCAATTATTAATGCTTTGAGCATTAATCCGGATGGATAATGAAAGTATCTGAGAAAATAATGTGTGTTTATGTAATTTTGGTGTATCATTCTTTCACATTCTGTTAAAGCGACTTGCTTGTGGAAGTGTACCAGACATCAAAGTATAGAAACTTCCCCTCAAAAGTAACGGAAAATACAAAAAAATGACTCGTCCAAGTGAGGAGAAACAGTTCTGGTTACAGCTGAACGTAAAAGAATCCCCTGCTTCCCAGAGCACAAACGACCTTTGCCATTTTTTTGCCATAAAAAAAAAAAAAAAAGGTCTCGGTTCTGCAAAGCCCTCTGCAGACACCGTGCACAATCCCATGAACACATATTTTGTCAGTTACCCACCCGGTTATTTCTGGAAAATTCATATTAACAAAAGCACTTTTGCCAAAAACAGGACAAAAAAAGTATACTGACTGCAACTGATGCAAAACCGGGCCTGTAAATGTTGAGCTTATCTGATCGTAAAAGCTGCAGCAGGGTTCCTGCAGGACCCAATCATTTCAACATGATTAAATGTCTCATTAGATGCTGTTGACGACTCGGGGTCAAAGGTTGGCACAACTTCCAGCTCTCGGTAGACTTGGCCTCCGAGATTGAACGATTCCACTTTGCATCACGCATTTCTTTTTTTTTTACAGGTTTTTTAACTGAGTTGCACCCAATGTGGCAAAGAAACTGGGGTCACAAAGCAATTCCAAATATAACACTTCATCACAGAGCCAGCATCATTTGCTGTTAGAAGGAATAATTGAGGCTTTGGTGCTGTATAAACGGCTAAATGGCACAAAGGAATTGGTGCAATTCCATGAAAGAGAGAGAATGCTTGTATTCCACAACGTATGAGAAGTAAATTAAGGAA